TGATTATTGTTATTCCTGAACTAGAACATTTATCTGAATCATGGGCATGCTACTTTAGAAAAATCTAAAAAAAAAGAAAAAATCAGCTCAAATAATAGTGACCAAATCTTTCAGGAATTTTCTTATTTCAAGCTTTGAGTCATCAATCAGCCGCCATGCACATGTATGATTGTTCAATTAATGCATTGATATATACAGTATATACTCTTTATCTGTGTCTATATACTGGTGTTTCAAGGTGGTATGGTAAATATATAAGGTGATCCAGATGACCTCTTGTATATAAATAATCTTGTATGATGAAAATACACCATGATGTTGGCACATAGTACCAGAAACACACTGTGAAAATTGTAGATGGGTCATTTTAGAGTGCCTAAACATGTGCCGTTCTGAAAGGTGTTCGGTTTGAAGAGCATCTTGGCTTTGTATATATTTTCAAACAATATTTGTCTTTATCTCTCGTAAAACTAGGAACAGAGATGTGTAGGTTTACCATCTTGTCTTCCATAGCAATGCCTGGTATTCTTGATTTTACGATTACATTTTCCATGGATTGTTATGTACAGGTACTTTTAATGTCTGAAATGTCACACCAACTGATAAGTTTAGAAGGAATGTTTTCACAAATAACAATGTGTTAGTAAGAATTTATTTCCTGGCAAATATTTCATCTTTATTATTTCAATTTGCTTTAGATTTTTTGAGAAATAGCCTACCGAACACCTATCTTTTGATATTTGTCATAAGCGATAGCAAGAGAGAGAGAGAGAGCTGGATAGGGTTATGGGGAATAAATTTTCGTGCTGTGTCTTTTTCATCCCTTGTCCTCTTGTCAAAAAAAGTGGATTGTCATTTATCTACATAACACTTTTATTCGTTATCTACAATAATATCTACACAACTTTTTTATTTGTTATCTACAATGATATTTACACAACACTTTTATTCCTCTACAATAGTATCTACCTATCATTATACACAAGCTAATAGCTTCTATACTCTTCCAAGAAAAATAAAATAGTCAATATTTCTTTGGGTAGGTTTATAAATACTTGTAATGCTCTGATGACTGATTTAATGGTTATTCATTGCTTGTTCTAGAACATTCTTATGTCTGGTTATTTTAACAGTCGTTTGAAAAAGATATAACTGAGCTCATAAATGTTCTTTATTTTTTATGAAGGTGTTGCTATTACAAACATATCAGTAATTATAAGCAGTATTCTGCCTAAATGTAATGCCTGATCTGAAAATTTAGTATGGTTGAATACATGGGAATCCAAAGAATATATTTGTTCAGTTGCTACTTCCAAGTTGATTAAGGACATTTACAAACAATAGCAATGGTCACAGTTCCCTGAGATTTATTAATTGTTGGCATAATATTGTTGATAAAAAAATATTTCAGTACAGTCTTCCCCACCAGAAGCCTGGTTTAGCCATTGAATTCAAGGGTCCCTATAAGAAAAATCCACAATGACCTATGTGCTATGTCTGCGATGAGAAAAAATAAGTCATTAGTCCAAAGTCAAGAATGGAATCAACATACTACTTCAGACTAATTATAACAATTCTTTTTTCGTGTATAGTCATGTGTGCAATACTAGGGAGGAAGATTTCGCTTGGACACCACAGGACTACTTCTGGAAGATGAAGGAATAATGATGGACTGTACATCTGGCTGGTTATGGCACATTTTTTGTCTCACGCCTTTCAAAGAAAGCAGGGGACTATTAAAATGGGTTCGTCTGTCTGTCTGTCTGTGCTTCTGTCCGTCACACTTTTTGGGACACAATAACTCTCCTTCTAATTGAGCTAGAATGTTCAAACTTGGTGTGGGTGTTTATTAGGTCAATGCCTTTGTGAAGTTCGAAGATAAGCATTTTCTGCTTAGGGTAAGCAGAGATAAGCAATTTGATTGGTTGATGCTTTGGGACACAATAACCCTTAACCGGTCGCCGTCATTTTGACGTGATGACGTCAAGTGTTCAGGCTAAAAAAAGGCTGATGTGAAATATTTTGTATGCCTATTTCAATCGACTACTGCCGAATAATTATAAGTGATAGACTCTTGACATCAAAAAAGTTGAAGGGGATAAGTTGATCTATAATTTGCAAATCATTCTAAATCCTTTTCATCAAAAATATCGTCTTCAGAATCGGTGTGTCATCGATATAATCCGAGTCGGAATAATTCATAAGTATTTCAACCTCTTCGAGCATCTTTAACATTTAACATTGTTAAATTACGTTCTTTGTCAAAAAATGTTGAACAAAGACATGTTTTTCTGAATGCCCTTGACAAGACAAGTTCCTGTCTGACACACATGCGTGGCCATATCAATTAAATACGAAACTAAATACTCAAATGTGGCTTATAAAAAAGGTTCTTGCTGTGGTCGACTTTAGTCGACCGTGACCACTTAGATGTATAACGTTGTGGTGATTATAGTCGACAATGACCGGTTAAGGGATAACATTAATTCTAATTCAGTGAGAGTGAAGACACTTGATGTATAGTTTCATTACATCAATACCTTGACTAAGTTCGATAGTGAGCATTTTCTGTTTAGGGTAAGCAGAGCAATAAACAATTTGATTGGTTGTTACTTTGGAACACAATAACTCTTCTAATTGAGGTAGAATGTTCAAATTTGGTGTAGGCGTTCATTAGGTGAATGCCTTGATGGAGTTCGATGATAAACATTGTCTGCTTACGGTAAGCAGAGATAAGCAATCTGATTGGTCAAATGTTTAAACTTGATGTAGATGTTCATTAGCTGAATGTCTTGATTGAGTTTATTGATTAACATTTCGAGCTAAAGCTAAGCAGAGCTAAGAAATTTCATTGGTCAATGCTTTGGGACAAGATAACTTTGATTCTATCTATAGAGAGTGATGAAACTTAGTGTATAGTTGATAATCAGTTTGATTGCTTGATACTTTTGAACAAAAATAAATATGTTGTTAATGTTAATTTATATGTGTCATCTATTTATTTTGGGATTTCGGCGGGGAACATCAGCCTCACTGTTGGCTTGTTGATTAAGATATTCTTATCCTCAATTCTAAGTTGTTGCCATTATTGAATGTGGAGTGTGGACACCTACAAATATTTGTTAAAATAGATCAAGATATACATCGTGTATCAGGTTGACTGAAATTCATAAATTATGACACTTATAATTATTTTTATTTACAACTTGTCGGGTAATAAATACACAGGTGATTTCAAATCCCTTCGTTATCTTTAAATACTGTACTGAAAATATTCATCAATACAATCTGGCCTACGTCATCCCTCCCCTCTTATCTAAAAGTACTGGCCATAATCTAATTTAGATAACCAATTCAGATTGCCAATAACAAGCATTGTTCACGATAGGCAAAGGTATTGTCCGTCTGCAAAGAAGAAACATGGGGGTTGTCAATATGGTGAGGCTGCTGCAGATTTGTAATTATTATGCGAAGGGTTTTGGGGTGGGGGGGAGGGGGGGGTATAATATAATGGATTTAAAACTTGTTTTTGTTCATGGTTTTGAATACCATATATAATGACATATTTGTAATTATTTTGTGTGAATAGTGAATAACCTAATTGAATTTAAAACCTGTTTATGCATTTTGAATATAGGTACGTACTGAGTCATTCATTATGATGTAAAATTCTCATGCTATATCCTGTGATGATATAAGTTGTTAATGCAATTTAAAAACTTGGATTTATCTTGATATAACTTGTGTTTGGGGAAGCTGAAAGGCTGTAGTTAACACCACATGGTGTATAACAGTTATTACAGTATACAGTCCATATGAACTTAATAGTAAATATTGCAATGACCAACTTTTAATATGTACTGGTAAATACAGCCCTTGTCGTTACTGTGACATATATACAGTAGTTACTGTTTACTGATGAATATTAAATAGGGCAACTTATGTATCTACCCAAAAAACAGAAATGGTGTGAACATGTGTATTTGGATTAATTTAGGATTTTGATGTTTTGTGTCATTGGTATATTTTAGGCAGTTTTTTTCAACAACTAAATGAATTTTAAATGAAATAGTCAATTTGTAATTCGTAATTGGTTATGGTAGATAGAGCTTTGTAGTATGTGTAAGTTTATATATCCCTTACATGATTTAACAAAGTTCATGTGTCAGTGTCAGTACATGTATGTGTGAGTTTTAAAGTGACTTCGCATGAGATGTCAACAGATGATTAATTAAAAACTATGTGTTGTTGGTGTTATGAGGGGATATGGTTCAATAGTCATATTACTCTTGATTACTATTGTTTGGGTGACAGAATGAAATTATGAAGGCACTCTTTATGAGGACCTTTTCATGTATGTTTTTGTAGAGGCTGTTTACTTTTTGAATTTATGGACTGCCTTGTAAAAGCTGCAACCTTTTGTAAATTTCTTTTTATTGATCATAAGGTAATGTTCGGTGTTGTACATAGAAACAGTATTTTCAATACATGAATGTCTGTAAAATGAATCCTAATGAAAGCCATGGTTGGGTTATATACATAAGTTTATTGATTTGCCAGGTTAAAAACCTATTCTGTTTGTCATGTTTAACCTTTTGGTATATAATCAGGAAATGTCAAAAGCGAGAAATGGGGTTTAATGTCCACTCAAGACAAAATAGGTCATTTCTGATTTAACATATATATATAAAGATATATGTTTTATCTTTATGTCAATAATGTGCGTGCACGCAGGTGTCTTTCATAATGGGGGGGGGGGGGGAAATGTAGTGAAAATGCATACAGTCGAGCAGATGATCTTACTTTTTGTCATGTACAAGTGTGGGATTGAAAATATGACACTTTCATCAATGACAGACCATCAGATAAGAAACGTAGGCATTAAAAATGCTACTGCTGGGTATGCATATTCGTTACCTGAAAATACATTGTTTTATAATGAGAATGTTTAACTCTCAGAAACAAGACAAATTTTATATGGCATTTTCTTTACTTTTCAGAGTTTTGAATTTGATATAAAGTTTGGACCCCTGTATATTCATAAAAAGGCAATGTCAGTAAGTATTATTTATATATAATATTTTGAAATAAGATGATTTTTTTTCCAAACTACCAAAGACAGAGGTATTTGACACAACTTAAATGATTTAAATTGATTGACAATTAATTACTTACCTTTCCAAGAAACATCATTAAAATTTATTGTCTTATTTGTGGCAAAATCCGTCCTCCCCCCCCTTTCCAAGAAACATCATCAAAATTTATTGTCTTATTTGTGGCAAAATCTGTCACCCCCCCCCCCCCCAAAAAAAAAAAAAAATCATAAAAGATACTTTCCCATGTACAAACTCTGTGATTTGATGATATATTTGGACTAAAATCATATTCAAACTAATTAATCTATCAACAATTTGCTTAAAATCCCTCTCAAAACTTCCCAAAACAGCATAACCATTTGATCAAGAAATAACAACCACTCCATCAGTCAAGCTAGCACACAATAAGCTGGTAGACAAATTTACTATACTTTTATTGGAATTAACCACCTGATAAATACTTACATGACAATGTTTCTTTAAGAGAATGTGAATATCTGAACAATAAAAATACATGTTGTTTCCAAGATCCAAAATGAGGAATAAAAGGTTTTCACTTCCCTAGTTCTCATAACAAACATTCTGCCTAAAATAAACACTTTTCTCTACTTTGAAACACAAACAAATAAACAAAAAAACTAACTCTACATATGCAGTTAATGCATCATGTCTGTCCCACTCTGTCTATTGCTTGGTGCACAAAATGTATGTGGATTACTTCGGTATTAGATTTTACCTCCCAGAATAGAATAGATTAGATTATGATGCTGAATTTTTTTTTGGTGTGTGAACTTTTTTTACCAAATACGACATGATCAGAAATGTTTTTGTGAATGTCTGTCATCAATCACAAACGTTGTAAATCTAAGATTCTACATTTGTCATTTTCTCACACGTCATCAAATATATCTCTAGTAATACATGCTAAGACCTGTCCTCCATTAACCAACATTCCTTGATAGTCTTAAGTATTTCTGAAAATGGGGGAAGAGGGGGGTTGGGCAAGGGTGTGCACAAATTTTGTAAATATTTTTTGAACATTATTATGGTTGATTTAAGTCAGTTATAGGGTGTAATTTAAAAACTGACTGGAAATTTTAACACTGTATTAAATTTTAATTATTTATGATAATTATGCTTAAGGTTGTTGCCCTTGATCACTTTGTAGTGTCTTGTAAATGCTTGCAGTCTCCCATAACCTACAAAACAATAAATACGACAATTTATATTGACAACTTGACTGCTGTGGACTTTATTTCATTGCTTGCCAACTTATCTTTATGATATATATATATATATATATATATATATATATATATAATATAAGTACATAAAATTTTTGTAAGTTTGTCTACACTTAAAGAAAAGTGCATGGCCATTACATTATTTTCATGACATATTTCCTATTATATGGGAAATACAATACTCCCTATGTACACTGATGATAAACCATCATATTTTATCTTCAATAAACAGTTAGGCAAAAGTACAAACCTTTCAGAGAACAAAACCATTCAACCTTTTAAGGATATTCTCTGATCCATTATTATTGATAATTGGCTTCAAGGATATTTTTTGATTTTGTTGGGTTGGGGGAAGGGGGAAATTGCACACAAAATAACTGCTTGTGAATTCTGTTTTAGCAGTTTATTACGAATAAAAAGTTTACTATTACAATAATAAGTATGATGTATAATCATCAATCAATACATTTGCACACCTACAGGATGCAGGATGTTTGATATGAGGCGGGAGGTGGGGGGGGGGGGCTTGTGGTGGAGAAATTAGAAGAAATCAGGATGTCAGTGGTGATTTGTGGCACATATATAACCGATGTCTGGGTCATATGCTATTTTATTAGTTTTATACGCCTACATTGAAACGAAGAAGTCTATTGAATTTCAGCAAATTCTGTTGATTACTTCTAGAGTTATGGCCCTTGTTTCACTTTGTTGCACCATAGGAACGCTCTAACGCTCTGCCGATTTGTATGAAATTTACATGTGTCATTTAAATTAGTCATGGGAAGAATCCTATTGAATTTCAGCAATTTCCGTTTATTACTTCTAGAGTTATGGTCCTTGTTTCACTTTGTTGCACTTTGTGAACGCTCTAACTTCTAAAGTTAACTGCCAATCTGTATGAAATTTACATGTGCCGTTTGAATTAGTCAAGAGAAGAATCCTATTGAATTTCAGCAATTTCCGTCAATTATTTCTACACTTATGACCCTTGTTTCACTTTGTTGCACCATGTGAACGCTCTAATGCTCTGCCGATCTGTATGAAATTTACATGAGTCATTAAAATTAGTCAAGAGAAGAATCCTATTGAATTTCAGCAATTTCCGTTTATTACTTCTAGAGTTATCATCCGATATGTATGAAATTTATATGCATCATTTAAATTTGTGAAACAGAGGTCTATTGAATTTCAGCAATTTCAGTCAGTAATTTCTAGAGTTATGACGATTGTGAACCTTGTGAACATTTGAATCACAAAAATGATCATGTGATCTGTATGAAATTTATATGCATTATTTAAATTAGTAAAACGAAAAAGCCTGTCAAATTTCCATCATTTCTGTAGATTACTTCCAGAGTTGAGACCCTTGTTTCAGTTTGTATAACCTTGTGAACCCTCAAATGACAAAATTTATAATCTGATCTGTATGGAACTGTTTAGTAAAGGCCCCCAATTACCTACAAAGGAATAAATATGCGACAATCCTTGTCGACCGCTCGGACGATTTATCTGCTGTGGGCGTATGTTTCGTTGCCTGGCAACCTATCTTTTAATTCTGTTTTAAATTTCAAATCTATATTTTAATATTCATTAATTTTTGGTTAGTCATTAGAGGCAGACAGCAATTAACCTGTTAGTCAAATTATGACAGACTGGCAACTAAGGTGGTTGATCTGTTAAGTTTCTTCTAACTATTGTTTTAAATGCCTTAAAGATGGGTTCCCAGAAAAGTGTTTATCGGGTGGTTATTTCCAATAAAAGTATGGCAATTTTGGTATATATGGAAAGTAGAGATATCCAATCTTACTAGAAAGCATTGAGCGCTTGATGTACAAGTTGATAAACTTTATGAAGAGTTAGACGTACAATACTTTCTGAGATAAAAATGACGGAAAAAGACGCGGGTAGTGGATAATCCGAGAATTTAATTAGGATTCGATATTTGTAATAAATAGTAAGCGATTAAAGACAACATCGTCTTATGTATGCAATGAATTCTCCTCAGACTCCCAAGACGTGACGTAAACATGATCTGGTTTGATCGAATTTTAATAGCAGGGCATTCCTTCGCAATTACAATGTTTGAGAATGATTTGAAGCATAATTATGACAAATTAATGAGTTTGAATATGTTTTTGGTCCATATATACCATTAAATCACCCACTTTGTACGCGGGAACCCATCTTTAAGTCTTAATCCTTCAATAATTATATGTATGTTTATGTCAACACTTTCTAAGTAACTAATTTGTATAAATAGACAAATTTAGGTAAGATGATGATTCATTAGTTGGAGAGACCAGCTTAGGGAACCTATATACTAGTTGGAGGTTTGATACATAGGAAATTATAAGTTGTTAAATTGTTGCTGTTAATTATTTGCTCCCGAAATAAAGTTTTGAAGATCCATTCCAAGATTCTGTATGCATTTCTGATACGCTGGGGATGCTCGAATGAACGTTCCAGAATTGAATTCTCTCAATCCCAAAAATAGTGTCAATCGAGTGAAAAGGAGAATTTGGAGTACAACGCATGTGCCGACTGCATAAAAAATATCTCAACCAATCATGGCAGCTGAAACATATTTGATATTTAAAATACGTCCCGATTCTACTCACACCACCTCGATGAGCTACATTCCCTGAAAGTCGAACGGTGTTATATATCTGGACCCAAGTTCAATTTCCTTAGCTACATCACTCCAACCAACAAAAAGTTAAAATTTATATGCTTCATAGAGTTTTTCTTTTCAGTATTACTGGGGTTGTTGGACCAGTCATTCACCAAGGAGAGAATTATCGAAATTCATTTGTTTATAATTGAGTTATTTCCCTTTTACAGAATACCGGTCAGAGGTTTCATAAAAAAAATGCTGAGATTGTTCTGCTTGTGACAAAAGGAAACCCTACTGAAATTCAATCACACATTAAGTTATTGCCCCTGTTAGTGTTGCAAATTCCATTATATTTCCCCTGTCACTGAAACGATGTTACATTTTGCAATCAATGTCACCAAGTCATTATTTCTTAGTTTTCAAACAAATAAGCTGATTATTTAATTTGTTTGTTTTCTAGGTTTTACTTGTATTTAATAAAGAAGATTCACAGAGTGACGGCTTGGGATGGGCAGCGGAGAGAATTGGTTATAAATACACCATGGTGAGAACACCAGAGGCTGCTTTAGAAGCATACAGTGTAACACATCATGATGTCATATTTATAGATCACAGAAATTCAAAACATTTTGATGCTGAAACACTTTGCAGGTAAGTAAAACATGGATAGTCTACTACGAATTTTGAACTCAGATGGCAATTAGCTCCACAAAAATCAAAACTTTCAGGATTTTGGCTATAATTATAATGAAATTCCAAATTGCCACTCAATTTTATGCATTGTTATTACCCTTAGCTCTTAAAATGTTGCTCCTGCATGTAAATTCATTACCTATCACTAGCAATACTATGTTCTTGAATACCGATGGCAACCATGAAAATTGGCATAAAGTCAGATGTTATACATTTCATGTTCAAAATACAAGACAATATCCTGTAAGTTAATTGAGATAGTGCCGAAATTGTTAGATAAAGAAATAAGTTGTGTTGTTCATAGTATGCGAAATAAAACAGATGTAGAGTGACAAAATGATTATAGCACAAGTGATGAAAATTTGATGGAAAGATTTGTCACAATAATAATTCAACAGATACCTAGATTAGTAAAGAGATGAGGAACATTATGGATGGAGAGAATGACATCTGCTTTATTTCATGTATCCATTTACTTAATTTTAATGGCCTCAACTTTATAAATAATATTTGTGCTAAATTTATTAAGAAAGGCAATTCTGTAAATATTAAGCACCAGTTGTATTTCAATTTTCCCATCAAATTGAAAAAAAAGGGGGACTGCATTGGCTATTGAAAATAATAAAATAAATATAGCCTTTATTCAATCAGAGGAGGCAGATCTAAGAAAATATAAAGTTGGAGTGCTAATCAAAGACGTTATACATATTTTTAGTTAAACATGCATTATGCAAGAGCTAAATCTGATTATTGCAAGTCTTAATTTAGGCTTCAGATGTTATAGAAATTATAAATTAGATCTTTATTTAAACAACAAGACCAAAATCAACTCTGTAGACCCACGGATGGCTCGGCTACAGCTCGGATTTAAATAGGATTTCACTAATTGATTAAATCAGATAAGGGGTAACCTGATGAAAATACGTCAGTTAGATCGAGGCTAAATGATAGAGTATACTTAGCGAGGCCGCTGTAAAGCGTTTCCGTATGCCATTGAAAACTTTACTTGATAATCAAGATATGTAGGTGGAGTTAACGCCTGTCAATCAAACGATCGGCGAAGGTGAAGACACATTTCGCTACCATTTCTAGGCAAATATTACAACGATGATAACTATGTTCAGAATAAAGTAATTTGACTGAATTTTTCAATATATTCTTCTTTCATCATCTACTTTTGAACTGTTATAGCAAGAATGGCCAACTCTCTATAAAAATCTCTCATAATGTATCTTTAATTAAATTTATGATATTTTAGCATTAAGAAAATTAACCCGTTAAGCGTGACGTTTTTAAAATGTTTTACTACCCCCTATTGTGTAATTAATTTGACGAAGTGACGAAGAACTATGTACTAAGAATAGGTTGGGGAAAATACCTCCAAGGCGTTATATTATGCCCTACACAGTGAGTGGCAGTTGTCCAGGACATAATATAACGTCCTACACATGCTGCGATCGGGGGGGAATTCCAGTGACGAACTATGTTCTAAGAATAGGTTGGGGGAAATAACTCCAAGGCATAATATTACGCCCTACACACAGTGAGTGGCAGTTGTCCAGGATGTTATATAACGACCTACGCACTTAAAGGCTCAAAACCACTCTTGTTGTAACTGAATAATATGCCCCAATCTTTATTCTGGTCAACAAATTGTACTATTTTACAATATTCCAATTAATTGATGATACAAATTTCATCTTAACATACCTAATTTAAAAAATTGGAAAAATCCAACTAAATGATTGGAAACGCCTAACGTAAACCTTTTCAAATGTGACTTGGATTTAAAAATATTTTCATACCCTCTGGACAAGTAAAATAGGCTGTAATGGATAATTTAGACAACAGGTAGGACACTTAAACATCTAGTACTTAGAATAAGGCTATTATTTGTTTTCTGGAGCTGTCAAGCCAGCAAGAGTGTTATTGTCTCTTTAACGGGTTAACTTTGTGATATTTTAGCATTGAGAAAACTGCTTGTTGTTCTAATCTTCTTCATTGCAATGTGTCAATTTTATTTATAATTTCAATAAACCAAAATTTCTATTGGCCTTCTGTGCATTTGTACTCAATCTAATCTACATTTTACACTGTGTCTTAGGCTAAGTTCACATTGGGGTTCATATCAAAACCGATGTTATGTTCAGATATAAATCCACATGGTTAAAACATGTATGTATAAAATAGGATCTTGATCCTAGAAACCACATTGGAGGGCACTGCTTCTCATCATGAGATAGAGATGACAAGAAAGAAAATGACGATACATTAATCTCGTGCGAGTGCGCATACCTCTATACAGATTGCTCCATGTCATCCCCTTACACGAATGTCACTTTGAACTCAAACATTGATCTAATATTAATGTGAGTGCTGCCTAATATGCGGGGGTACTATATTACAAACAACTAAAGACTACATCTCTATTAGTCGTAACAGAATCTTTTTGAATTCTCCTTTCTGCATTAATAGCATTTCAACAATTTCGTACAGTTAAAGCTTCCAGTGCAATCTTTCGTCTGCAAGTCTATGTAAGAATCCAAGTAAAAAACATCCATGCTTGTAATTTGCTGTAAATCATGAAGATTTATTAAGTTTGTGTAACAAAAAACGTGTCTTGTTTATTGATTGGGACACTGCATTTGAGATAACATCAAATATATTATCGCAGAGAAAGAAAAAATAAGAACTAGTTGAAAATCCTAGGGTTTTTTTTTTTCAAAGTAAGAATTCTTGGAAGAGATTTATCACATAGAAGTTTAATCATTTTCTTACCTAACAATTTTTTTTGATTTTTTTTTTTTTAAAAAACTCCACATGAACTGAAAAAAGCTACATAATAATAGGCTGGTTCATAAATAGCTTGTAGGGTTGTTAAGGACACTTTAAAATAGACGAAAGGTGCTAATCTAATATAATACATGCAGTATTAATATGATTAAATATGGATGAGGAGAGAATAACAACTTTTAAATTCAATCCAGAGCATATATTTCTTTATATTTCTCGCAAGTAAATCAATATGTAGAAAGATTTTCATCTTACTGTCGAATGAGTTTGGAACTCTTCAGGGAATCATGGTGTTTGATTACAGATATTTGCTGCTGACAGGTTCAAATTGCTTTCATTGCTTGTTTGTATCCGGGAAATGTTCACAGTTCCTTAGTTTTACAGCCTATAGGAGTTGACAATTGATATTCATTTTCTGTCAACCACAGATTAATACCAGGTCTTAATAAAATAGTGCCACACTTCAGGATTTAATCTAGAAAAAAAACCACATTGAATATGGTTGTTGCAAATTATTCGAAAAATTTAAATTTCAGTTGATCAAATTGTATATCGATTAACATTTTAAAAATTTGGTAGCAATAAACATTTGACCTAAATAAGGTAACAAACTCGTAAGCCGCAAATCCTTTATTTGGCTGCAAAAAAAAAATTAAAATTTGATTTTAAATTCCGATCTGTAATTATACTAGTGACTTTAATTAACTATTATCTAGCAAACAGAATATTAAAATTAATGAGAGTGTTATATTGTACAGATCAGATTTCTCTGTAAATATCTAAATTAGTAATAATCATACCTATTGACAGATCAGAATTATCTGACTATTGAAATCAGTACAGGTACCAGTCTTTGTTTGCATTGTACAATGAAATTACTGTTGGTTTTGTCTGACCAACACTGTATTAATGAAATTAGTGAATAAAAAACCCACCTGTGTAGAATTGGTCATTTTATCCATACGTGTAGGTCATAGATATTGTCAGTCACAAATTCTCACACAACATAGTGTAACAAGTCTGGATCTTATGTCATCTTTTGATTTTCAACTTTCACTTTTATACTTACGTAGAGCAGAATAGTACGTAGGATGTTAAACCCCATTTCATTTCATACTTACATGTACATACCTGTACAAACAAATTTTCCTAGTAACGAGGAACGACTCGACCAGATATATGATGTGTAACACATTCGAAGCAGATCATAATTTTCCATATGATAAAAAGAAAACATACAATGTTTTTAATTTTGACCAATTGTCTCAAAGTTACCATAAGATAATTTTCTGGTTTCTTCAATTCAGTACCAATGGCTTGTTAATTTTATACTTGGATGACAGCTTATGGACAAATGATTGTGTTTTGACTAATTACATTACATTTTGTTTTACAAAACTGGCATCTGTTGCACAAAATACGGTTCAATGTATGGTGGTTAAAATGAGCCTGTCACACTTATTACTTTTACCAGATATTCCATCCTGTCTTATAAACACAGAAAAAGATGAGAAAGTAATTTCCTTTAATAGAATCACATTACATTTACTTAGATATCCATGCAACCTGCTCTGGGGTTTAAATGGCTTTCTAATTATAATTCCACGATTAGGATATTTTTGTCCAATGTACGTCAGCAAAATGGATTTTATCTGCGTAAAGGCTCAATAAAGTGAATATCCTGACACACAAAACTTCAACACCAATACATAATGACTGAAATTAATTCCTGAATCTCACCCAGGGGAATTCATTAGATTTAGAATTGATTTTTGGATTTAGTATGTCTGCAACATTGCATTGGATTACTGAAAATGGTACAAACTGTATTGATAATAATGGTGATTTTGTTTACATGTTAATATATATCGTTTTATTTGCCGAGAAAAGGTTATTGATATTTATCAGTATAACAGCAGACGTGTAAATATGACACAATTTAATCTGCTAAAGTATTTCTCAAGCATTATACAGACATATCTGTTGATGCAAAAGTTGTTTTCATGTGGATTTTCTCAAAATCATAATTGAGTCTAAATTCAGACCAAGTTTTGAAATTGATGCAAACCAAACGTAGGGATATCAATATCAGTTAATGTTGTTGTGGAGGTGTGATGTGTTAGTAACCCATATTAACAGAGAGAGAGAGAGAAATGGGGTTTAACGTCCACTTGACACAAACTAGGTCATTTCGGTTTTAACACTTGATTCAATTTAAATTTCAATAATTTGCTTGCGCGTAGTGGTCTTTAGCAGTGGGAGGAAACCGGAGGCCCCGGAAAAAACCCACAAGGTTGGACAGGTGACCCTACTCCTTGTCACATACAACCAGGGAATCGAAACCAAGCCAGTTGACTCATTGATAGACCTTATGATACACCGCACACGCGCTAACCATTCGCTTATTTTGAATTCCAATCAATGTTCTTTTACGTGCACAATAATGTGTACGTAGGACCTTGTTTTTTTATCTCATCAGAACGACTATACGTTGTCCCTTGCCAGGTCCTGGCTTACACTACTGACAAGGGGAAACCACCCCGTAAAATCCACTGAGCCACCGTGGCTCCCTTGTAATGATGACTATTAACTAACTTAACCTTTTCAGACTATAATGTAAAATGTACAGTTTGGGTATTTGAGGAGACTAAAATTATAATTAATATAATACTTCATAGTTTGGATGACAGTCATTGATGCCCTCCACTGCAGTGTAACTTGTAACATCTTTGGTATTAGTGATGCGTGTCAGATATTGCATAGATCATTGTTGAATACTGCTAAACCGGGTTTCAAAATGTCAGTCAATTGACAGGTTTCGAAGGCACACACAATAACAGACATTGATTTCATGTCAAATTAAAATTCTTTTAACAGAAGGTTGTATAGAGCCAATAAAACCATTGATGTGTTTGATATTTAAATAATGTTAAGAGAAAATAAAAGTAGGCTCACCATCATACTATACATATCATACTATACAAAAGTAATTATTTGCTTAAAGTTAAGTAGGCCTAACATTATATTACACATAATATTATACAAAAGTAATTAAATGCTTAAAGGTATGTGGGGGGTTGGGTGACCAAACGGTAAACGCGTATGCATTGCATCATAAGGTCTGTCATTGAGTCAAGTGGCATGGTTTCGATTCCCTGCTTGTATGTGACACAGGGTAGGGTTGCCCAACCAAGCTTGTGGGTTTTCTCAAGATCCTCTGGTTTCCTCCCACTGCTAAAGACCCCTGTGCGCATGTGAATTATTGAAATAAAATTGAACCATATGTTAGTCCCGAAATGACCTAGTTTTGTGTTAAATGGACGTTAAACCCCATTTCTCTCACTCTTCCATTACAATGTACTCTTGAAAAGTGAATCTTTTATTTTGTACAAAAATGGTGTTTTGTTGATAAGATATATTAAAGTTAAAGATCATGCTATACAATGTGCAAAAATATGGAACAAACCTTATGGCAGTTTGATTATATGTTAATTAGAGATGCATGATCCAAATTCTTAGGAGAATCCACCTTTGCTCGCATAAATGGACATAATTTTTGAAAGGGGGTCAAATGCCAGGGCTAAAAGTGACCACACTTGGGTTCTATTCAAAAAGACTTTATTATCTTTGGCTGTGGTCCAAAGAAAAAAAAGTTCATAAAGAGAAAAGGGTTTCTAATAATGGGCAACTACCAACCAGTTGAAAGATGAAATACCTATTAACGATGAAAGTCTACTGAACAACTGTAAAAATACACCAAATCTTTTATTGAAGAAGTTCCAGTAGGTAGTTATACTGGAACTAAATACTGGATACAAAGAACAAAAACTTTGTGTAGAAATAGAGAGTTAAAACAATTGCCTTTCTGTACAAAAAACTATACAGGATGAATGTTTCCAAGGGGACATCCATTGATCTATAAAACAACTCCCTAACAAAGTTTAAGGGTTAAGTAGTGAGTGGGCTCACTCACTATAGATAGGTTCAGAGTGGACAGTTCACAGAATAGGTTTAAAGGGATACTACAACCAATATTAGTTTTAACACAAGTGCAATTTAAAATGTCTACTTTGATAAAACCAAATGACTATTATAAAACATTACTCTGTCACAATAATCTTGTCCAAAGATCTAATTTGAATATATTTACTTGTCATAGTACATGATGTTAAAGATGCATTTTTGTCCTCACAAAGAAATTCAGAATATCATTGGTCTCACATTATTATGGAAAATCTATTTACTACATTGAAAACCAATAAAAGATTTGTATATCAGTTACAATATGGCAGATTTGTCTCAAATTTTCCATGCTATTTAATTTGAATATGTGCCTAATGTATCTGTATATGGAAAGATATATAAAGTACCTATACCTATTTAATATTGTTAATGATTTCTTTTCCTTATCAAGATCCATAGAGCTCAATTTCAACCTTTTTTATTTGTTTTATTTTATTTTAGATCTATACGAGCCATAAAATCTAATGAACACACCCTGGTTATTGCTGTAACCAAGAAATAGTAAGTTATTTTTAAATTTATCAATTCTGTCTAGACATTATGAACAAAAAACTGCAGACTTTTCCCCAAGTATCATAAAACTGCAATTAACATAAGGTTATGTTTCTCTGTTTTGTAATGTATTGATCAAATAAATAAGGTGCAGGATGAATGAGTTAATAAAATTAACTTTCTGAATAAAATTTCTGATGGATATGGACTAAAATGGAAGAGGAGATGGGAGGAATTTAAAGGGTAAATGGTTAACTTAGATGACAGCAAGGGACAAAGAGAACCTTAAATTGGGGAATTTTAAGCCTGGTTCTGAATTGTAAGGGTTGTGTCTGTCTGGCTGAAAATAGAGAGAGAGAAATGGGGTTTAATGTCCACTGAACACAAACTAGGTCATTTTGGAACTAACACATGGTTCAATTTTATTTCAATAATTTGCTAGCGCGTAGGGGTCTTTAGCAGTGGGAGGAAATCGGAGAAAGGCGACCCTACTCCTTGTCACATACATGCGGGGATTCGAAGCCATGCAACTTGACTCAATGGCAGATCTTGTGATCAAACGTGCACACGTTAATCACCCCCCCCCCCCACACTGGCTGAAATGGAAATGAAATGAAATGAAATGGGGTTTAATGTCCTACTGTTCTGCTCCTAAACTGGGCTAATGAAGACAGGCATATGCCATACAGTGTGCTATGAGGGAAATTTTGCCCGGGCAGCGGCGCTACGGCCTTCTCTTATATCGAATTCCACCTGCCAAGGGATCTTTTACGTGCGCGCCAACATGTACACGGGACCTCGGTTTTTCATCCCATCTGAATGACTAGACAGCTGTCCTTGTCAGGCCCTCTATCCTGGATCACTGACAAGGGGAAACCACGCCGGAAAATCTGGATGAACTTTCTCAGCCTGGCTGAAAGGGGAAAATGTATGTAGTTGTATGAATAACCCATGTTAAATTTCTAGCAAACATAATTAAAATGAAGAGATCCTTTGGCATTTGAAATTCAAATTAGAGAAAGCAGAAACACCTCTTTCTTGACAAAAATCTCCCCCTTGTATTAATTAGAAATTATAATAAAATACTGTATCTTAGTCTCAAAATGTTTTAGATAATGTGCTGAGAAGATGTTAACTTTTGGGTCAGGATTTAGGTCTGCCAAGCTGTTTTGTTATTGTAATTTCTATATTATGATGAAAGTTGTGTTATGGAAATCATACATACATGATAAAGTAACCACAAATACATGATTGCTTCCTCTTTATAATGAGAGTTATGATAAATATCAGACAAGTTTATGTAATTATGCGTTACATGTTGCATGTAGTTATTAGTGTGAAGATGGGAAATAATTAAAGATTTGTTTATTTTCAGCCCTAGTGATAAGGAAGAACCATCTATATTACCATTATTAAAAGCTGGATTTAATAGGGTAAGTGTCATTAGATTTTTAAAGTGCCTTGGTTCTAAATAAGATGTATTTCTTATTACCTGTGTAAATTTTTGTTTACTGATTCACTTGCTCTGTGACAGATCCATGAAAAAAGTGTAATGTGTTGGAGTTATGATTATGTTATTATTGTTATTATGGTATTACAAAATTTATATACCCCCCCCCCCCCACCACCACCACCAACAGAAGATAGAATATCACAACAAAAGATTATATCACAGCGAAATCGGAAATATATCCCTACTAATATTTCATACTGGTCATTACTGGAAGTGTTATGAATAATCCCTCTATCCCTAGTGTTTCATACTGAAAGTGTTATGGATAATCTCTCTATCACCAAACCATATTGAATGTGTAAGAATAATTCTGCTATTATAGCTAGATCTCATACTGAAAGTGTAAAATTAACCCCTCATATCATCACCAAGGTTTCATACTGATAACCTAACAATGATTCCTCTATCACTGATGTCTTAGATAACTAGGGTCCCATTCTGGAAGTGTTATGTCCAAACAGTTATCACATGTAATACTGATCGGATTGTTTCATATATACTATTCAAAAAAAGTAGGGGATATTTGATTTTGGGGGCATAATACTAAAATATGCAAATGACTACGAAAAAAGTCACTATAGAACCTAACAGAAGAAACATTTCCAGTTACATGTGACGCCCAAACGCACCAATAGCTACCGCATGGAATGCAGGTGATGCTTGGGATCATCATGGGGCTCCAACCCAAGATTTGCACGACTCTGACTCTGAATGTTACAGTCATTGTGGCATTGAATTCCAGGGTGGAAACATCAGTTTAATTGTTTTAGTGACCAGAAAACAAATTTTGATATGCGTCGGCTTACCCAAAATGAAAGGTTACGTGCCCTTGGCATGCTACAGATCGGCACAACACAGGCGGTTGTGGCGCGGACGATGAATGTTTCTCAGTCTGTCATAAGCAGGCTATGGTCCAGATACCGTGATACACAATCTGTACAGGACAGACCACGCTCAGGTCGACCAAGGGCGACAACTCAAGCCCAGGATCGATTTATCCGTACCTTGGCCTTGAGAAATCGTGTCATCACAGCAAATCAGATCAGCGCTCGTCTTCAAACAGACACTGGTGTGAGAGTGAGTGGCCAGACGATTCGGAATCGACTGCATAGGGGTCACCTTCGCGCCCGACGTCCTCGCGTGATCCCTTGTTTGAGAGATCATCACATTCAGGCAAGACGTCGTTGGTGTAGGGATCGTCAACACTGGGATAATCGACGCTGGAGCAATGTGATGTTTTCAGATGAGTCAAGGTTCACTGTTGATTTTTTGGACAGACGTAGGAGGGTGTGGCGTCGTCGAAACGAGCGCTTCCAAGACGTTACCGTCATCAGACATGATCGATTTGGGGGTGGTTCTGTTATGGTGTGGGGAGGCATCACTGTTGCTGGAAGAACGGCTTTACATGTTGTTGCAGGGCGTGTTACAGGCCAGTACTACCGGGACAACATCTTGGCAGTCCATGTTGTGCCGTTCGCACGACGTCATGGCCGCCGTTTCATCTTCCAGGATGACAACGCAAGATGTCACAGGGCCAGGATCGTTACAGGTTACCTCCAACAACAGAACATCACCACATTACCTTGGCCAGCACTGAGTCCCGACCTCTCCCCCATCGAGCGTGTCTGGGACATGCTTGGACAGAGGTTACGTCAACGTCAACAACGTCCTGCCAATGTCCAAGAACTTGCTGCTGCGTTGCAACAGGAATGGGACAATCTGGACCAAAATGACCTTAGACGTCTCATTAGGAGTATGCCACGTCGGATCAATGCTTGTTTGGCAAACAGAGGAGGATTTACCCGTTACTGACTTGGTTGTGATGCTGTGGTAACTTTGCTGTTTGACCCCGGGTATCATTTTACCCTTATAATGGTCAGTCTGTGCCTTACTTAGTCTAACGATCATTTGGAATAAATCGATGAATGTGAACTTCATTTCATTTTGTCATTTGTTTCTTCGTCAGTTTCATTAGGTGACTTTAATAACACTTAAAAATCAAATATCCCCTACTTTTTTTGAATAGTATATCTTCTTTGATGGGCATTTAGTAATTGAACATATTAACACAAAGTACAATTTTATGGATATGCTGCAATTACTGGAGAAGAAAATGTTAATCCAATATTATTACTTTTCAAAAACTACATCCTAATAATTCTCTTCTTTCAGAGATTTGTGGAAACTAGCAATATTGGGACTTGTATGAATGAATTATTACAGTTAGAATATGGTGAAATAAGATCGAAGTTAAAATTACGAGCTTGTGGGGCTTTATTTACAGCTTTAGATAATGTTAGCGATCTAGTAGAGATAACCAATCAAGACCATGAAATTCAGGTATGTTCACTATTACAAATCATCACATAACATTATTTTGCACCATGAATTTATTGCCAACAGTAGATGAAAGTAGAAATCTAGTCAAAATAGGTTGTTCCAAGATTTGAAGTGATATATGTGACCCGTTCTGGCTAAATGAGTCGGAATGAGCAAAGTCTAATTTTGAGCTATAGACAAAACAAGTGAAAATTTTGATTTTGGTTGAAGTTGAGATTTTCACAAAAATGAGTCTATAAATATACTATCTATCTAAATAAATGATGAAAATAGCAATAAAACATTTTGAAACATCTTTATTTAGACGTTTTGTGAGAGTACCGTATTCATAAATTCTTCTTTTTTCTTAAAATTCTCTGTGAAATAGTTATTTTTCTTCGCTTGCTGTGGGACAATCAGATAATCCCTTTGCGTAATACTTGGTATCGTTGTAAAGAGTTACATCTCTAGTTTAAAAATATGACCAAACTACTACCGATGATATCATTTTCATCGAGTACAAAACAAGTTTAAAAACGTAAACAACCTTATAGCCTGTTTCAACTTAGAACAGCGTAAATTGTTCACTGATTGGCCCAGACATCCCACATGTCATATCATAAATTAATCAACTAGGTTAAACCTGAAACTTGTCAATGAAAAATACTAATCAATTGTCATGGATTAATGAGTCGTTGATTGATAATTGTCAATGATATATATGAAACCTTTCTCAAGTCATTATTTATCCCGAATAATTAATCCAAGCGATGATTATTTGACATTTCGTTTCGTCTTAAAAAAGAAAATCATAAATTTACACTGATAGTTGAATTTCATTTACTGTGGCTTTATACGGCATATAAAATGTACAAGCATGCCTAATTTGATATTATTGTTTCAAATTTTATTATCAGCAAGGTTCGGAAACATTACAACAATGAAAAAGTCGAAAAGCAACAAATCTCTAGTGAGAAAATCCTCCGTCGTTTGTTTCACTAAAGTGAACGTAAGCATCTCTTACAAATGAAATTGAAATTTCTATCATTATATCAGTAATTCAGATTCTGATACCCTTATGGTACCTGAAAATAACATGTACACACTTTAACCTTAGACCTTAGTTTAGTTCAGTCATGTGAGGAAGATGACAGAACACACATATAGCTGTGGTGGCTTCTTTGATTCTCTGGAAATTAAACTTGATTACTTAATAAACAATTTTGATCTCTTCACAACTAACGGTGCTAATTAATTGATGAGATTAACAAAAGTTATTCTCATAAAAGTTATAATATACAAAACATGGATTACTAAAGTATGGAGTATTCTCATTTGTTCTAAATTGTAACACTGTCATTGGAAATGTTTTTATTAAACGACAAAATAGCAAATAAATTGCCTGGTTGCTAGGTGATTTTGTTTTAGAACATGCCAACATCTTTAACTTGATTTTTCTCAAAACTTACTTTCCTGACTTGGGCAGTCAATTTTTGTCCGAATCAAACCAACCATACATCATTTTGAGGGTATTGAATTGGAGAATGTGAAAACAGCAATAACTCAATTTTTAAAATGTCCTCATTACGAATCATAATGCCATCACAGGTCTCTGTGATCATCGATACTAATTTCAATCATTTGACAAGAGAATTAACTTTGGCTGTCAGTATTTGAAATAATAACTTTAAAATATAATAAATATAGTTAAATTTGTAGTTTATGTTGTAAAAACACTAACAAATTGATTTATGAATAGAGATAGTGCTCAGAATTGTTGTATTCTTTGGACACTTTTCATGGTTAATCTGATACAACCAGGCATCAATGCTTGGAATGTGGTTTGGTAATTTAATGTTTTCCAATTTATATTATATTAGTATTAGTTTCACTTGATCACCAATTCTGGTGCTTCAGGAAAATTCAATTTTAAAATAAATTGTTAAACAAGAACACTATATACAAGAGTTCCATGGAGAGAGGAAATTCTATTTAACAGAACAAGAAGATGCAAAAATTTACCAGCAAAATTTTGTTGAAAAGTGTTGGAACGCATAAACAAATTATGTAACCAGAATGATACTGAATGATTCATTCATGAAATAAAATGTCAGATTGAATTTGACGGGTTGCAATTTTCCAAATTTAGTTTTCAATTTTATTGTGTTGACTTCATTGAAAAAAATCCAGCAGAGAGGAAAATCGTTCATAGCGAAAGTTCAAGTGGAAACCTTTCGCACTGTTTTCTCCAAAGTAGGACTTTGATTGCTGAAGTTAATGTCAAATTGTCAGCAGACACAATTTACAGTAACTGAACAAAAATAGATCAATATTACACATTTCACATAAATGGCCTTGGAATTACTGTCCAAAATAGCAGGATTTTATGGAAGAGATTTAATTCCACTTGCATTTGGTTGTTACTTAAAATAAGTAACTGAATTGTGGTTTCTACTTGCAAATATCTTCAAGGCTCATCATAGAAATAACTGAAGTGTTTTTTACATAAGATTGTAGGAAATATACAGTTTGTATGTAAATGAATATAGCATAATTTTATGGTAGATACAATTTGCCTGTACACAAAATTGTGAATGGCTTTAATTATGTAGGATTTACCTCTGCCGCTCTGGGCACTTTTACTTTCCACTCCTTTCTCATTTAATTACATTCATTTATTACAGAATAGTCCTGTTATCTTTTTATGAACTCTTTTTACAAATAAAAGTGTAAAAAACCTCTGCATTTCCTCTTTCTTAAGGATATGGACAAGTATAGAATTTTGTTTGTGAATAAATCTGTAATTCATATCTCATTCTATATTTGTAAGTAATGTCAAAAAACTTTTTGTAATGCTTATGACATTTGATTGGAGCTATTGAGCCATTGCCTGTCATACAAGAAATGATATTGAACCAAGTTTACATTTGAAATAATTGAATAAAAAAATGTTTTTCTTAAAAACAAGAAATAAATGGCATTATTTCTCAAATGGCTTTTTAGATTTAACCCTTTCAGTGCCAAGTATGTCAAAACATTCGGTCATGTTTAACAATATCCTACAGGTTCTGTAGCAAGAAAGGGTTAATCGTAAAATTAAAATTTGAAAGTGGAATCCTTGGTTTATACATAAAACATATTTACTACCCAAAGTTACATTTTAAGTGAAATATTTTGGAAAATGTTCCCAATTATTATGGTTGAAGCTAAATTACATGTATTAAATTTGTGACAGATACCAGATGAAGCAGATCAGAAAAAATATATTAATAAATAAAACGTTTGTTTGTGGGATCGTAGATACTACTACTACATTGTACAATTAAAGATACATTATGTAAGATTTAGATAAAGAGAAGGCCGATCTTGCTGTCAATAATAGATAATGTAAAATGAATATATTGAAAATTTCATTCAAATTACTTTATTCTGATCGAAGATATTAGCCTTTGACAAGATGTGTCTGATTGTAACCTCTGCCCAGGTTGTTCGAGCCTAAGCCTCGCTTCACCATTGTAAGATTAAATCATTAAATGGCCGAACTGTTATTATCTATTTAAAATCGGACCTATCCGATGGCAGTTATTAATATTATGGTCTTATCATGTTAATAAATGTCTAATTAATAGTTTATATAACATTTAAGGCCTAAAAAAAGACCTGCAATAGGCAAATTTAGCTCTTGCATAATGCATGTTTAAGTAATGTTGTTTTTTGTGGGTCATAAAACCGGAAAGGCTAAAAAAAGGCCTGACTGTTTACCAGTTGTTATTTGCAATTTCTGCATTGATCAATTCAACATGAGCTAGATTCGCAGACTTGCATGACAAATAGTACATGTACATGGGAAAAATCCAAAGATACATGTTTTTGTAATGTTTTTTTTTTATTGAAAACAAAAATAAATTCAAATTGTGCGACATCCTGACACCCTGATAAACAATGCCATATCAAAATTGCAATAATTTAAAATTAATTTATTAACTATAATATAAACTACATTTTTTTTACAAATTTAAATTGTAAACAACAATTTGCAAACAAATTTTTAGTAATCATCAACAAGAATGAAGCGTAATATGCTATTTCTATATACATTTTCCAATCTATAAACCACTAAATATGATTTGAATAAGGCTAATTACATACACTTATATGTAACATATGTACAGGTGTTTGTTGTTTGCTTGATAGATTAATGGACCACTTTATTATAGAATCATCATTTCTCACTTAGTTTTACATACAATAAATCTATCTATCTATCTATCTATCTACAGGGAGTAAAACCTATTTGCACTTGCACCAATTTTCATTTATAAAGCGACATAACTATATAGAAAAACTAGGTGGTATAACTTCAAATCTAGATGCAAGCTGAAGACAATGTTCTAAAATATAATTTGACTGAATATTTTTGAAAATCATCCACTCGAAGCTTTCAAAAGCTTGATTTTTGATTAACAGGTCAGTCAAATTGACTGAGTGGAAAGTTTTCCTGTCATTCAGTTTCCATTCCATTAAATTTATAGTTTTAAGTGTAAAATCATGTCAAAATTGATTTATAAGTAGAGAAAATGTTAAAAAATTTATTTTGAAAAACATGTCTAATTGGCAATTGCTAAAATATGATAAACAAAGTATACATAGCGTTGACCGATATTTTCAAGTTAGGACTCTGCTGTTACTGTTAGTTTAGACTATTTTGTCTTATGTTGTCAAATTTCAATGATTAGGAATTGTATCTGCTTGATATCAGTGTCAAAATATTATTAAACAAATATTTTGTTTTGATGAATGGATTATGAAAAACACATGATAGCCCTTCTTTCTGTAGAATTGTGAAAATTTTATAAATGCATTTTTCTCATATCAGTAAATTTCTAAAGCATATGAATTGTTTGGATTGTGTATCAATTTTTTCGAAATAATTATAATTATTATGTTTGTGTCTCATGTGAATAACTTCTGTCTCGAAAACCTCAATTTGTTTTCAATTTAAAATTATGCAAAAATGGAAGCTAAATGTAGTCTGATATAAAAAAAATGTCTCCTATATTTTGAAAAGTTTATTAGATATAAGAGGGAAAATCCTAGACCAGACCTGTACATGAAATGATTTATAATTTCTAAAGTTTTGCTAATTGATTCTGGTTTCTTTTATGTGACTATCAGACTGACCAGACGACTTTCTCTACAATTGAAAATAACTTTGTTATGCTTGATGTTTTTAAGCTGTCTGCTACGAAACAGACTTTTCCTAATTCTATGGCATTAAATGAAAATGTGGCTGTCTGAAGTATAGTACATAAAAGGCTTTGTATAAAATCTGAAAAGCAAGACATGATTTCATGTACTTATCATTTAAACTTAAAGACAGACAGATTTTTATCTAAATTTATCTAAATTTAATTGTCAGCTCTTATAGCTTAATATTCAGCAACATCAGACAATGTGGTTTTCTGAAAAAAACCCAAAAAATCTCCCTTTTCACTAATGTAACTAAACTTTGAATTAACTTACTACTCTTATTGGGCAATGCACGGCATGATGAACATGGTTTATTTTAAAGTTTCACTGTTTAGTTTCTAATTTTGTATTTTTCTTATCAAATAGCCAGTTTATTAAACAATTAATTGTACTTTTATTGTGACAGAAGTAAAAGACTGAAATGGGCAGTAGTTTATACTTGAGATATGAAAATATCAAGATTTGTCAATCTATTCACTGTTTCTGTATTGAAATTATTGAATTATTAGGATGAAAACAAATGATGACTGTATATATGTCTTTTATCCTAAGAAGAATAGCTGGACACAAAGTGGGAAAACTATGTTATTTTGTGGGCATGATAAGAATGACATAATTTAAAGTGTGGTATCACTCAATATCATATATTCATGTCTACTTCCTGTTTTATTTATGGAAAATCTTTGTCGGGATCTGACATGAGATATTCAATCTTTAATGCTTAGATTCAAATATCTATGAAATATGTCTAAATATTAAACAGTATTTTTCAATCATTTGTTTGGCTCTTTTAAGTGTCTAGAAGAACATGAAATAATTGTCTTTTTGATTAGAAAACAAATCATGGACACTTATTGCTCATAAATCATTTGTATAACATTATTAGTTGTCCAATTTGTTTAACATTATTAGTTATACTATTTGTGTTACATTATAAGTTGTTTTACGGTATTTGTTTAACATGATTTAGTTGTTCTACGGTATTTGTTTAACATTATTAGTTGTACTATTTGTAGAATTTTATAATGTTTTGTTATTGAGTTTTTTCTTTAGCATAACTTCATTTTTATATGGAGTCGTCGCCCCTGTCCGTCCGGTCGTCCATCCGTCTGTCCACAATATAGGACTATCTCTCAAAGATCTCGATTCCTTTTCATATTGGCATATATCGGACCATAACGTTATTGATTATGACCCCTTATTGTACAAAAAATCACGTTTTTTGTCTTGTGGTCACTCTAGAGATCACAATTTTCATATGATTTTGATTTGGCGCAATATAGCCTGGCCGGAGCTGACGTGGTATTAAACAACATTTTATTTCATTTCATTTCATCTGATTTTGATAAAACTTAAATGCAATTTTATAACTCAAAGATCTTGGTCCCTTTCGATATTTGCTTATATTGGATCACAACTTCCTGAATTGTGGCCCCTGATTGTATGAAAAATCACATTTTAGGTTCTGGTCCCTCTAGAGGTCACAATTATTATCCGATTTAAAAAAAAAATATCACCGTTGCACTGAAATGATTCGTGAAAATTGGACCAAATAAATTCTGGACAAAATGGCTGCCCCTCGTACTCAAATAGTGTAAATATATGGTATATCAAGGTTGTGGACCCTCTAGAATTCACAATTTTGATCCGATTTTGATGACACTTGAAATATTCCTGTCGATATTCGCGCATATCGGGTCGTAGCTTCCTGAATTATGGCCCTTGATTGTATGAAAAGTCGCTTTTTGTTTAGCTTGTTCCCTATAACTGTACAATTGAGATAACTTTATTTATTGTATAATTTATATAACTTTATTTATTGTACAATTTGTGTAACATTTATTAGTTGTACAATTTATGCAACTGTTATTGGTTAAACACATAGTGTCACTCTACTTATATCTCCATATACTGCGAGAAACTTCATTAGTAAATTAGAATTAAATAACTTATAAATACAAATATATAACATCCAATTCAAAGATTGGTTTGTGAAAAAAAATTTTTTATTTTTTTACCCGTCTGTCTATTCACATATTGCTTGTGAATGTGATATTGTTTGTATTATCCATCCAATCTTATTGAAACTTGGTATGTTGATTAAATCCAATTTGAATGTGATTCATTGATCATTCACAAATTGTTGCCCTTGGCATGAGCAAAATACTTCAAAAATTACTTGTGAAAGTGTCTACATTTTTTATTTGATAAATGATTTTAATAAGACTTTATGTATTCTTGAGATTTCCAAAAAGTTCAATAATTTAATAATTATTTGTGGTGTTATTGTTGTTGAGTTTATTGAAAATATGTCCGAATATCTCCATATATACTCTTCCAAAAAAGTAGGGGATATTGAAATGCAAATACCTATGCAGGTTGTGATATGATAAATAGTCATGGACACTTGACATGCTTTGAGAGTATGTTCACAGATGAAGAACTTATCGTCCCAACAGAACCACTGAGCTGCACATGCGACACGCAATAGCACCATACACATGGGAGAGGTTCATTGTCAAATTTGACATTTCAAGGAAGCGTTGATGAAAACTGCCGCTTGCTGGTTTATCCTATCCATGTTTGCTTTCCTATCGGTTCTTGCATAAGATTTACTGTTTAGCATATCTTTGCTTTAGTGTGTTACATTTAATTTGATCGGGAGACGTTAACGTCAACCGACAACACTGCAAGAATTGGCCGTGGCAATGCAATAGGAGTGGGTCAGATTGCCCCAAATCGTGATTGGATGGTTGATTAGGAGCATACCTCAACGAAACTTCTGAATGTCTGAGGATTGGTGGAGACAAAAATCAAAAACATCCATTTTCACTTTTGACGGTGTATCTGTTTGCGAGTGAAATGGTGCCGTCAGAAAAGCCGCCCATATGAACTGTTTATGTTCATGTGTAGGCAATTGGCCTGTTATTAACATACTCTGGTTACCTCTAATAAAAACACCAGTGCATTTTCTCAGTTTTGTATTGTTTCTGAATATCCCCTACTTCTTTTGAAGAGTATATTATTAAAATAGTTGCTTCTTGTAGTTACTGTGAAAAACTAACACGCCACACTAAACCTTATTTGACTGCTGCTATTTTCAAAACTTTTACTCATTTATTCATAATGTCTTAATTCAAGAAACAAACATCTTATTTCATAGTTTTCAGATTTGAATATTATTGCCAACTGGCACAGTATTATTGTGGGAACTCTGCCTTGAAAACTATTTATTTTCTGATATTTTTTTTGTCTCTCTTTCAGTATGTAAATCATGCATTTGAAAGATTAACTGGTTTTACAAGTGAAGAAGTTTACAGTAAAGACAGTCGAGAACTGTCTAAAAACGACAAAAATAAACCCGATTTGCATGATATTATCAATGATTACGTGAATAAAGGAAAGGTCAGTGATCATTGTTTCTTTTCTTAGATATATCTTGTCTTAAAGACATTCAATTGTTAGAAGGTCAGTGTTGCAGCAATAGGCTGCCAGATTAACATTTATTTGGGAATCATTGTGCTGTAAAAAAAAAAAAGGGCAAATGTAGATTTAAAGTAGCTGTAAGAAAACGGCAAAATTATGTAGTTATAAAAGAATTGTGTAATAAAATGAACAAAACCTGACCAATAGGTTAACAACATTAGCTATTTTGAATTTCTGAGCTGTTATACTTTTATTGGCAGTGGCATTAAGTCCCACAACCATCCTTTGCTCCACATTTTTAAATTATATTTAAGTAATTAACTTTAGATTTTGTGTGCCATTTTGCTGTTCTCTGTTGGAAATCCTGCATACACCACTATTCCATGAGTTTCATACGTAGTCTTTCTTTATTATATACATGTTTAATGAGGAGCTATGTTATAAGGTGTGCCAAATATTATTAAATCATTTATTTCATCTTTTTTGTGAAATTGGAGCTGAGTGCCCTATAAACTGTTTTGGAGATCATGATGAAATGACTCAATATTTTGTAAAATAGGCTAATTCTTAAAAGTTTGATTGTTGATTTGCTTACTTACACAACTAAACAACCTTTTTGTTTTGTATTCCCAGTGAAAACTGGATTCTCCTTTAATTATTTGATAGTTAAAGAGCAAAACATAGAATGTGCTCAATAATCACTTCTGTCTAGTCTTGTCTCAACTCATCCAAATATTACTAACTCTTGCTGCTTGTTATCTTTGGCATGGCAAAGAATTTCAAGGTAATTATCGGCCAAAGTCTATTCAGGTACATGTTTTATTCCTGATTAGAATTACGCAACTGGTAAGTAGATAAAAGGCAGGATTTATTGTATGGCTAAATTGCTGGAATTCTGCAACAATTTCCAAGAATTGTTGTTGCAGAACAGTTAACAATGATATCACATGATCAAATCAGATAATTCTTATTTGCAATTGTGATGGATTCAGTATAGTGTATGGTGACAAATTGAGTTTTCCCAAAATAAATTCCTAATGATTCTGGCCATCTATTGTTCTTTTCTTTATGATGCTTAAATAATTTGATGTTATTTAAATATAAAAAGATTAAAATCAAAAGGGTAGTTTGATAAATCTCTTTGTTGGTGTTGGCCAAGAAAGTCCCACAGGATTTTCTAGCTTGGTTTACCCATATCAGTGGTGCCTGCCAAAGAACAGCATCTAGTTGTCTAGATGGGACAAAAACCGAGGTTCTATGTACTTGATGGACACATAAAAGAACCATTGGCAGATGGAATTCAATGATGAATAGGCGGAAACGCAGCAATCCAGGCAAAATTTCCCCCATACCACACCACATAGTTTGTCTTTATTAGACCCCATTTCATTTATACAGCTTAACCCACATATATTTACGGTGTCTTGTGAAATCTGGGATTGCCCTTTAAAACTTGGAGCTCACGGACTGTATAATGTGAATATTGACATAACTGTGGCTCTCAACAAATTATCTCTGCATGTTATTAATAAGAAGAAGATTAATGTCACAAGTGAATGACACAAAGGCAAAAGTTGCAGACAAGGTCATTTATGGATTTTTTTTCGTTCTTTTTAAGCACTGGGAAGGATCTTACTATACAAGACGGAAAAGTGGAGAAGTAATTCAAAGTCAGTGTCGAATAACACCAGTTGTAGGTTTATCAGGGTAAGATATATCTATGCAGTTATCACACAAGACCTAGATATCAGCAGTATGCATGGTTATAGTCAATGTAATCAAACCAGACAAACATATTTCATGAACATGTACGTGTGGAGGTGCATGTATGTATACAGTACTATAAGGCGTTCTATATATCTATCTGACAGAACCTGACATAAAACTGTCAGAATTTTATATTTTTTTCATTTTACACATATGACAGGAAATGATTTTAAGACGCGTTATCACTACAACTTAGTACAACCAAGAAAATAAATTTCATGGAGTAAGTTAAGAATCATCAAAGTTTTACAATTCATAAATTTACAGTTAAAACTTATAAATTTAAAGTTAAAATAAAGGGCATACATTACATTCTAACCAAAAATCATTTATTTTACCTACTGGCCAATAACTCCAAACTTTAAGCATTGTCAACAAATTAATACCTTTTTTTAAAAGTTTGTTTACAAATTCAATTCCAATATTTAAAGTTTAATAAATCTATAATTCGTTAAAATCTAATACATATAATATAAGATACATTCGGTCGTGGGCAGAAGTAGTATTATACAATCTGTAAATAATGTAGTTATTACATGCTAGACTTGTTTGATAATGCAAGATTGTTCTCTAATTTTTGAATCAAGCTAGCACGTAACTGGTTCTATAAGTGATTTATTAAGGAATGAGGCTGTCTAGACGATATATTAGTTTTAATAAAGTTTCACGGATGACTATACACATACAGTTTAATATTAATTTACACAGATTTTCTCTGGTGTAAAGTAATTGATGTAGCTGTCAAAAAATGATGGAGGTGTTGGAAGGCTGGTGGGAACATTTATATTATCAATATTATTATTATCATGAGTCTATGTTTGACCTAGTAAACTAAATATTTTATTCTCACAGGAGAATAACAAATAAGGCTAGACAATAAATGATTATAGACTTAAATACACTGAGTCAAGCCATCATTTTAGTTACTATGAGACAATTAATTATCATGTACTAATAACAATACTGAGACATCTCATCATCATGTATTAATAAAAGATAATGAGACAGTTACTGACCATGTATTATCAACAGTACAGATACATTTAATTGCTATATATTAATGAATGACACTGAGACAGGTAATCACCATGTATTAATCACCCGTTGATAACAAGTGTGCTGGGATATCAAATAGCCATCATATAATAACAAATATACTAGAGCAATTAATTGTCATGTATTAATAACCATTCTGATACATTTAATCATCATGTATTAATAAAAGATACAAGACAGTTAATCACCATGTACCGGTATAAATCACCATTTGATAACAAATGTACTGGGATATACAATATCCATCATGTAATAACAAATATACTAAGACAATTAATTCTAATTTAATAACAAATACATAGGAAAAATATTTTAAAAAATGGCATCATGTAATAGTAACAAATATTCTAAAATTGTCATGTAGGCACATAATCTTTTGCCAATATTGCTTTTATATTTGGGAATCACAGAATTTAAAGAACATTGTTTTTTCAATCAATATGTTTTAAATATGTGTAAATATTTTGTTTTAAAAGTAGTTTTGTGTGCTACATAACCAACACCTTCTAATAAAACATTTTAGTGCTAAAAGTTGATCTGTAAATGAATAAAGTGGAAACTTTTTAAATCTAAGTGTAAAGTATAACAACATTTCAGAAATATCAATATATCTTACTTAATATGGCACACTTGCTTGACTGGAAATACATTCACAAATCTTGTAAACTTGCAAAATATACCAATGACGGTGAATATCAAGCCTAATTGACCCAGACTATCTGCTCGTGTCTCCTCTCTCATCACTCTGGATAGCTTCCTCGGAACTAATCAATGTCCCTGACCTACATCAAAACATGGTATAAAATAGATAAATCTGTCTGCACTTTACAGTCTTTAAAAATTCATATCAGATTTTATCTCTTGAAATATTTTATTTGATTTGATATCACATTTTGAAAAATAGCAAGCTTGACATGAGTTGTTATGAATGAAGAGCACAAGGATGTGTAATTCCAGTGTAATTCAAATAAATTATACTTGCATGAAAAATAATATAAAGGCCGTTCTGTAAGCAGAAATTGTTGCCATGGTGATTTACAAATAAAGTTGTGTTTGTGTTCTACATGTATTAAGAACAATTTCACATGTCTGTCAATATTGTGATTTTTATGTTTTATATCGTCCATCACAAATGCCTTTTTTTGTTGGAATCACCAAACTTTTAGTTATTTTAATTTTCATTATTTTCACAGGCGCATCTCTCAGTATGTCACAGTGAAAACAGCCCCCTACGATCTCACACAGCACTTAGATCGAGTCAAGGACACAGAACTTTACCAGCTTGCAAATGGCAAGAATATTTTTTTGAATGTTTATGTTGGGAAATGTTTGCGGTTTGTGGGTGTAGTTTAAAAGATATTTAAAAATTGTTAAATGTGCTACCTGTAGCTTCGAGATAGGTATTTTTACAAACAATGCCTATCTTATAGTTTTTTGTGGGGATATGATTGAATGATGTTAAATTTTTCATTTGTATTAGTCTGTTTTGTGGTTCAAACTTGTTTATTTGACAGGACACAACATTTTTGCATTCCTACAAAATTGGATCTCATGTCAAAAACAATAAAAAAAAAAGCAGGAACATTTGTGCCTTTTCAAATAAAATAAGTATATTAAAAACCATGAACAGATTTGAGGCTTATTAACTAACTTAATTGTCTCCAGAATTTATAAATTGTGAGGCATATTTCTTACTACTCTTTCTAATCATACATACTCACTTAAGACTTGAAAGGCTGTTGTGACAAAATGAGCTGTTGCATCTCTTGCGAGGGACTTGACTCAGTCTTCAAAGAATTACATTTCTAATTATAATAGGTCTACAGGTGTAATCACACGTAATTTCATGCAAAATTATTTGGAATCGGTTTCAATAAGAATCCACTTTGAAATTATTTTCCTAATGATGATGTTCATCAGTCCGCTAATAGGCTTGTACCTCATGTTCTGGAAGATGAAATGATTTTGATAATAATGATTTAGCTAATGAATGGGTATTAGATATTGTTGATCATCAAAGTTTGCATGATGAGTTTATGGAGGAATCTCAGAAGTTGGAAATTGATATAACCAAAAATTTGTCAGTGAGGCGATTTATCTAATGAATCTGTGAATCTGATCACCAAAGCCATAAATAAAAAGATAGATGTCGATAAATTGAACTACAAGTATCCCTTAGGTTGTTTGGGATTTTCCCAACCTAACCCTTATGCAAGAGTGCGATGGTTGAGGACACTATTTGTATATAGTCTGAGGGCTATTGTAAGGTTTTCAAGTTTTTAAGAAACAATGTTTAAATAAGTAAGGTGGTGTCATGTATCATTCATTGAATAAACACCTGATGCAGTGGGCTAGGCATGGTTAGGAAGAGTAATGTAATGAGAAATAAATCCTCAGACAAATTACAAGATATTATAATTAGAACAAGACAAGATTTAAAGGTCTTGAGTCATATTTTCCCTCCAGACAATACAGAAAAACCCAAGCTATTCAAGTAGCCATTGTGCTTGATGTTCCTGTCTTTGTTAGTTCTCGAGAGATCTTGAAGAAAATCATCAGTTCGTCGTCAAAAACAAGTATAAAACGCTGAGATTGTATAATAATGTTGTCTGCTTGTACCAAGTAATTATGCCAATAATAAAAGACTTTTATTGTCTTTTATCTACAGGCGGCATTCATGGAGGCGTCTCAAAAAGAAGAGAATCTGTGACAAGAATTCATTCGATGACAATTGAGGCACCAATTACAAAAGTATGTCCCTATCTTTTCTACCTATCTCTGTATCGTGAAATATTCATGTAGTTTTAGATGTCAGATTGGATTGTCTGTGCATGACAATGACATTGTTACTGTGTAATTTAAGAAGAACTATAATGATATATATTCTAGTACTGGCAACTCTGTATGAATATATTTACTCTAATTTTCTGGCCATTACTTTTAACTCTCAGGGAAAATCTGATAAACTGTCAGAATATTAATTTCTATGATTAAGACTAATTGGAAAAGATGGTCGCCATCATCCCTACCATAGCAATCTTGAAGTTGATTGTATATAATTTGTGAATCATATTTAGATAATAAATTAAATTATCCTTGCATGAAAGAACATATGCACTGGTTTGCGGTTGAACTGATATATGTCTGTAACTTAGTGGAAACAGAAAAATAGGTCCCAATGACTCCCCCCCCCCCACCAACCCACAAATAACAGTACAAAATATTAACTGATTGTTTTTTTTTATAAATCTGAGCTGTTTGTTGGTTGGGGTGATATAGGAATTGAATGTTATATTCAGGAGCAGATATGCGTCACAATTCACCATTGACACCCCAACATTATCACGGAGGAGCCTCGCCAAATATCCAGCGTCTGCCACTGTTCATAGTAATTCTTTTGTTTATTTCCTATTGAAGACAGTTTCATATATTTTAATTAAATTTTTTAAAGGTTATTAACATAATAAATGCTGCCCAAGAAAACAGTTGTTTAACAGTGGCCCAAGCACTAGATAAAGTACTAGAGATATTACGATCAAGTGAACTATATTCTCCCTACTTTAATCAACAAATGAAAGATGAAGACCCTATGACCTCAGATTTAGTTGGAGGATTAGTGTCGGTAAGTAATTTGTAAATAACAGTACTTTAATTGTGACATTTTAAAACAGAAAGTTGAATCAGCCATACGTTATCAGAATTTATTTTGTATTTCATTGAAATATCTTATTCAAATAGCATCAAATCACAATGCTAAAAACTATTCTTCGAAACAAGGACTACTGCAGAAATGCACAATAGACACCATATGCATTATACAATTTACCAAAGTTTACAGTATTTCTAAAGACTTCACTCCACTTTATGCATCTATTATGAATTCTGTTTACTTCATAAAAACTATTCACTCCACTTTGTGCATCTATTATTAATTCTGTTTACTTCATAAAAACTATTTATTCCTCTTTTTTTTTCTCCAGCAAAATGTCAAACGACGTCATTCAAATCATGACACATCAGTACAAAAAATTAGTAAGTACTTTACAATCAATAAAAATTGTTCAGTTTACAATTGGAGAGTAATTATTTTAATATTACCAGAATATATATTGATTAGAAAGAAAATAATTGTCATGGTCACATCGTACATGTACCTCAAGCATACCCATCATTTAAGTATGAAAAAATATACACAGTTTTTATGTTCATGCAATTCTGATTTTCAGTGACTGCTTAATGACCCTTAATCATTTCAAAACACCTTTCACTCAAAAATGTTTATATTGCCACCGTTTCCCTGTATTAAATCGCTGGTGTGTTTTAATTAAGAAAAGAAGATTTTGTCACAAATTTGTTAACGTTTATTTTAACTTATAAGTTCCTCTCATAGAATACACATCAGTCGTTAATACAATACGTTAAGTTTATACAGGACGTTAATTCAATACGTTAATATGATGCGTTAATACAATGCACTAATCATTAAGCAATTATCGTTTAAAGTAAATTGTTTGTTGTTCATATTAAATCGTCCATTATAACAGATAAACACAAATCGCCAGATTACAATAATAGAGTAGTACAAATATTCATGTTAACGAAGATGATGGTGTTTATGATGATATAATCATGATGAGGTTACGTTATTCAAGACTGATGTGATGACGTTTGTAATGGTGACGAATAGATAAATGTTTTCGTTTTGATGATATCATATTATGTGATGATGGTTTCTATCTTGTGAGGATCTACAGGGCAAAATGAAAATATGTTTTACATTTTCAAGAACAATAAACAATGGTGACTTCGTTAACTATACGACCTTGACCTAAATAAACCAATCTAAGAAAAGGACAAGGATCATAACATTATAAAATACCAACTTGGATAAAAAAATTAATAATAATGTGAATTCTGCCGTAACAGTTTACACTGTGTTTGTGTTGATGAGCTGAAGAATCCTATTGATTGTTTTCCAGTAACTTAATAATCAGTTGAAGTTATCATCTGATTACTGGAACATGTTTTGTGTATTCTACCTATACACAAAAATCTTACAGGGATCAGGGGAGCCACAATGCCTCAGGAAGTAAGACGCTGGCTCGCTAGCCTGGATGTTATGGGTTCGTTCTTGGTGTTGGTCGCGAATTTTTAACGTGTTTTTCCGGCGTGGTTTCCTAACAAGGACAGCTGTCTAGTCGTTCAGATAAGATCGGATGAAAAACTGAGGTTCCATGTACACATTGGCGTACAATAAAAGATCCTTTGGTAGTTGGAATTCAATATAAGAGTAGTCCGTAGCTCCGCTGTCAAGGCAAAATTCCCCTCATAGCACACTGTATGGCGTATACCTGTTTTCATTAGCCCTGTCGGAGCAGAACAACAGTAGGACGTTAAACCCCATTTCATTTCATATAGGGACCAATTTTTTATATACAGTTTGGTATTATTGTTTTGTACTTACAGGCCATCACACCCACCATCACATTCCATCCAGTCCTACCGCCTCCCTATCTCAGGTTCCTGAACCAATCCAGTCTGTACTTGATGAGGAATGTGACTGGAATTTCGATATAATAGAATTAGAAAGAGTCACAGATAAAAGGTAATTAATTATACATTTTGAGAAATGGTTGTCTTTAAAGTATATTCCCTTTAAATAGTCTACAGCATTCTAATACTCTAAGAGTCTTGGAGATCCATCTAATTTGGAAATTCAAGTTACATTTATAAAGATAGTCTGAACACATTTCTGAATAGCTCTAGTTGAAAATTTTAAATCCATTTAAAACAAACAATTTAATGAAGTCTGTGTTGTACTTACGCTAAACAATACAGCAGAAACTTTCAGCTAGCCACCAGAAAATTTCAAATCCATTTAAAACAAACAATTTAACAAAGTCTGTGTTGTAAAGACGCTAAACAGTACAGCAGAAACTTTCAGCTAGCCACCAGATCCGTTCACTTCATTTACTATATGTATGTTTGGAGTTTGTATCTCATAGAATATAAAAATATAATTTAAATTTATTTTATAGCAAAACTGATTATTTACTCTTTTTTTTTATGTTTTATTTCATTGCATAGGAATTATATTATCTCTTTTATATTTTAGACCTTTAGTATACCTTGGTTTAAAGATTTTCTCACGTTTTGATGTATGTGAATTTCTAAACTTGAGTGAAGATGTCCTGTTTAATTGGTTACAACTGATAGAAAGTAATTATCATGCTAATAATACATACCATAATTCAACACATGCTGCTGATGTACTTCATGCCACAGCTTACTTTCTAGACCGTGAACGAGTTAAGGTGAGAGGAGCTTGTCAATATTTTTATTTTTACAGGATTTGATTTATTCATTTCATCTGGTGCATCCTTGGTGTTCACTCGTTTAGAGGCAGTTTTTTACTTAGTATGATAGCATTATGTATTGTTTAATGGTTGAGAGCCAGACATTAAGTAATATATTGTAACAACAAGAGGGCCGTAGGCCTGAGTGTTTTTACAATATATTACGCAATGTCTTAAGCTCGAGACCATTAAATGACTTAAAATACAGACACTCCGCACATGCTTTTACAGTGAAATATGTCACGCGAGTCCAATATTTCACTCCTATAAATAATGTATGATTTGAAATAATGGTAGGCCAACATCGAAGGGTGACGTCACATCTGTATTTTAATATGGTATATAAATTTAGTTGGAGTTTTAGAACTGAATCCAAAGGGTTTGGGACCAGAAATATGTTTTTATGGAATGACATATGAAACTGTTTAACATCCTACTTTCTGCATTAAGGTTTAGGACCCGAACCACGATTATCACAAACTATCTGAGGTTTAGAAACTAAAATTAAATTTTAAAGAAAATTCACATATGATCTAAGATTCTCCAACAGTATATTTACATATGATAAATTAAAATATTATATGAAAAGAAAGATTTTGTACAACTAAGACTATTATTTTATTTGATTACAGAGTGTGTTTGATCAGTTTGATGAAGTAGCGTGTTTAATAGCTGCTGTAGTACATGATGTTGATCATCCTGGCAGAACTAATGCTTTTCTTGTTAATGCTGGAAACCCGCTGGCTTTATTATATAATGATTTGTAAGTATTCCAAGGTAGATCTTGTTGAATTTAACTGTTATTCTTCCTAAATTATTTACTCTGCTATATGGATATTCAAACAGAATCAATAGTAACAAATAGTCAAAATACACATTCCTCTGAATCATTCAGCAAAGTCTAGTAATAGCCAGTAGACATCTATAGCCACATACATAAATTTCCATTCAAGAAAGGACAAGTAGATGAAATATTTGAATAAATTGAAGTTATTCAGACATTTAATGTTTTTTGATGATCTTTTTACAGAGCCGTATTGGAAAGTCATCATGCTGCTTTAGCGTTTCAGTTATCACACCGAGATGATACCGTTAATATCTTTAAAAACATGAACAGGTAAGCTACACATTAATTAAGAGAGCTGTTAATTCTAACAAACCGTAATGATACATTAACATGAATTAGTATTGATAGGGGTAATTATTTCCAATAAAAGTAGGACAAATTTGGTCTGTATGGAAAACAGAGACATCCAATCTTACTGGAAAAATACTAAATTCGATATTTATGGTGAATTGATGATTAAATGTTGAAAATGGACCTTCCCTCAATGAAGCCATTTAACAGGCAAGATTTTTATGGCTTGGGGTAGTTCCTTGTGATTGAAATGTTTTGGGCACAATTTGAAGCAAACTTTTAAGAGATGAGTTAGTATTTTTAGTCCAAAAGTGTTATCAAATCACAAAGTTTGTACACGGGAAGGCATCTTATATGCTTTTTAAAGATTTAACTTATATTTAAATCCACATACCAATACATGTAACCTATGTTTTCTTTTATCCAGGGAAAATTATAGTGCAATGAGGAATAATATTATCGATATGGTATTAGCTACAGAGATGAAACAACATTTTGAACACTGTTCTAAATTTGTCAACAGTATCAATAAATCAATGATATCAGCTGAGGAAGAAACACAATCTCTGGTTAGATATATGTTATTATAGACAGTTGCAGCCTGGTCATAATCTATAAGTTCTTGACAATGACAAGTCATTGACATTTGATCATTAAAGATACTGTGGAATCACTGGGTATGAAAAAACAGTATATCTAGGAGATTAGAGCCAAGACACTTCACCACGGTCTTAAAGCACAAACTAGACAAAATTTGTTTTATTTCTTAAAATTTGTCTATACTGTTCCCAATTTGCAACCACTTTTGGTGAAGAGAAATAGTGAGAAATGGCTTTTCACTAAATAATTTAGGGCTGAGTTTTGGTAAATCTGATCCTCAGGCCATTCCCTCAACCTTAGAGATTTGATTATGTAGAAATCTGTGAAGGACCTATATTGTAGATTTAAATAAAGTGTCAATAATATATATATATTGTATGGATGAGATGTTATTTTAGAATACATGTAATCTATTCATCAATCTTATGAACTAGAGATCTCGCATCATTTATTTAAATTACATTATAACATGTCTTTTTACAGAGTAGTCAGTGTTCTCATGACAGCACAGCAATATCTTCAAAATTATCATTGCCAGAAAACCGCACACTTATCAAACGAATGTTGATCAAATGTGCTGATGTATCTAATCCTGTCCGTCCACAGAAGCTGTGTATTGAATGGGCAAAACGTATAGCAGAGGAATATTATAATCAGGTATGATTTAGTCAGAACATGACACTGTAAGCCAGGTATCATTTAATCTTGTGTATCTAGAACTAATTTCTTTCACATTCGTTTAATAACCAATCTTTGTTTAAAATCACCATAAATTGTTTAATTTGTACTTCTGTCAAGTTTAAAGCTGACCATTCAATTTTGATATTGAGTGTCCAATTTACAAGTGTTTAATTTCTCAATCACTGTTAAAAAATAAACAACCCAATTTATTAATGATGTATAATGATTAATTTTTGAACAGTGGTCAGGAAATTAAATACTTGTAAATTGGACACTCATTATCAAAATTAATCAGTCAGCTTTAAACCAGACACAAGTACAAATTAGATGATTTTTGGTGATTTTATACGATTTTTACGAATTTTTAAACAAATATTTGATATTAAAAGAATGTGAAAGAAATTAGTGCTAGATACACAAGAACTTACAGTGTGATATGCTACATAACATAAAAAATAGTTATAGTTGAAGTCTATTAAAGGAAGCTTATGACCCTTTTCCTGAAGCTGATAAATGACTTCTGGTGGCCTACTTTTGGACTCAATTAACTCCAACTAAAAATGTCAGAGGAGCAAAATTTTGAAATAGCATCCCTGGTTAAAATTGCAAGTGTAATAATGATATTTGAGATTAATCCATTGACAACAGCAGTCCCATAACCTTGCAGACCGTACATGTTTATCCACTGAACTATAAGATCAATGTTATTATCACCTTGTAGCCATGACTTTCTCTGACTGATAACCTAGTGAGATGTACCAGATGTCAGCCGGACATAACAGTTCCCTGTATTTCTATTATACATCTGAGATCGTTATTTTTTTTATGGAAAAGATCAAAGAGTTTTGAGACTGATAGAGCTAAAGAAGATTGTTTTCTTGTCATAGGGTTATTGATAGTCCAGTCATTTTTTTTGAGGCACGCTATCACTCGTGAGCACCTGCTGTGCACCTATATGTTGACCGAGGGGAGGTTCTTCTCCCTCGCCTTAAAATTGAAAATCGGTCTCCTTATTTGTAAATCAAAAGCGTGTGAAAGACTCGCATTCCGATCACCGCCATGCTGTCATTGTGAACATTTATTTGGGGTATTCAATTAGTGTATAATGTGATCGCACATGGTAATAAAATTCCGATGAATATGTTACTAAAAATAGATGGCACCTATGCATCATTGGTTAATTTAACTGAAATGTAAAGTAGAACTCTCGCGAGATGTGAAAAATTACGGGTGATAGCATGTGAAAATTTCCCAAGAGAATAATTCCGGAAGAAATAGATTATATTTTGATGGAATTTTCAAGCGTTTATGATTATATTTTGAACAGAAGTTATGTTTTTAAACAAAATTTATACAAGCTATATATATTTAGAAATGTCGACAGGTATTTCTATTAGAACACCGTATATAGTTATAGACGATAGCAGATGTTTGACTTGATTGTACCACTACTAGTGCTATTATTTAGCAGACGATGTTTATTATCATTTATGTAACCAGGAATGACCCCTTACACGCAGTTATTGAGTTTCCTTAATTTCTAAACCACTCATCTTATTGAAACTGGGAGAGTTTTTTTTAGGGGAGCGATTTTTTCAATTTGTTCATTAAGTGGAGCTTTTTTTCGGCTCTCCTCTAAAATCCAAAAAACGACTGATAGTCAATTATGTTCATGAAGCAAATGTCCATTGTAGATTAGCTATTTATCCTCTATTGATTGATAACACCCATTTTATAATCTTTCAGTTTACTATCTTCCAATCAATTTTAAGTTCAGCCTCTTTTAAAATTATTGTCAATGATAAAGATTGTCCACAAGGATATATTTTAAACAGCCGAACATAACCTGGTAATTGTTTTTTCTTCATTTGTAGACCGACGAAGAGAAGGCTAAAAGTTTACCTGTAGTAATGGCTGTATTTGATAGGAAGACTTGCAGTGTACCTAAATCTCAAATGAGTTTTATAGATGTATTTATTACTAATATGTTTGATGCGTGGGATTGTAAGTAGATTTTGATTCATTAAATTTAAATTTGTTAAATACATATATTTCATGAATTAGATGATTGTCAGTAATAGTCCTTTTAGAGAATATGCAAGAGAGGATAAGATATTCAGGAATTATATGAGAATACTCCCCTAAAATATATAATGAATGGTGAGAGTTTCCTGAAAATATATAATGTTGTTGAGAGACCTTTCTGAAAATATGTACTGGGGATGAGACTGAAAATATATAATAAATGATGAGATTCTCATAAAAATATATAATGAATGGGAAACCATTGTGAAAATATGGACTCATGAAAATATATAATTTGTGATAAGACTGACCTGCAAATATAATAGTGAGACATATATAAAATATTGAATATATAATGAGTGAGACTTTGCTAAAACTGATGAAACTCTCCGGAATATATTTCAATGAAGGTGAGACTTTCCAGAAAATATATGCAGGAAGGTAATACTCGCCACACACTATATGTGGAATAGTAAAGATATCCTTGAAAATATGCAGGATGGTGAAAATATAGAATAGATGGTGAGCTTCATTGTAAAATATATAGCGATTAGTGAGCCTCTCCAAAAAATATTTAATTAGGAGGTGAGATGCTTTAGAGATATATTGCTCTTGCCAGAGTCTGGTCTACACATATAATGTTTGACAAAGGGACTGAAAAGTGAATATAAAGTGTAAAACTGTTTTTTTCTTATTGCAGATTTCTGTGACATATCGGAATTAATGACACATCTTCAGATTAATTATCAATATTGGAAGGATCAAGAAGAATTAAAATCGAGAGAAGAAGAAGAAAACACAGCAGATGAAGAAGAGAATTCGTGAAGTGCTGTACAAAATACTGCTAATAAATGTTCATAATTTAATCTCAGATGGCACAGACATCCTAAGTTTCCACATACTGGGAACATTTATTGTTTCTTTCAAGTTTCAGTAGTGACTTTGTGTTCTACAAAACTAAGTAGCTGATAAACTGTTTTTAGTGACTAAAATCAGTGAAACCGTGATAAATATATAAATATAGCGTGCACAAACATTTATTACTGGATAGAGCTGCAAGGTGTTGATAAAATGGATGCTCTTGTTGGAAATAAATCTGTCAAAATGGATGAAAGTTAATAAGAAAATACAATATCTAAAGTGTGAAATTGCAAGATCTTGAATGTGCGTTGAACATGAACTCACAATAGTGAGTCACTTTGTTTATATATGTAGTTGTTTCAAGTTGTTTATATTTTGTATACAGTTCTATATAGTAACAATAGAAACAGCAATTGTTCAACAGTCATCTCAAAGGAATAATACTAAAAAATTTTTCACAAAATAGGTTTTGAGGATAGATCTTTCATCCAGTGAAGACTTTGGATGCATACAATTTCTTGGATGATTTTAAAGGACTTGAAAGGATGTTTCGAAAGTTGTTAAAGAGTGGAATAAATCAGGGATGTGTAACAATATGTGTGGTTAAAACTATTTGACTGTAATGTGATTTTTTTTTTTTTGCGTGGTAGAAGAGATGTTATTATGTGAAAAATTTTCATATACATAAAAATACTGGAGAATTGTAAAAACTGATATCACATTTTGTTACTCAAAATAATTTGGTTAGACAAATACTTTACAATACCTCACTACAAAAGCTTGTTATTTATCTTTTCAATTTGTACAGTTTAACCTCTAAATGTACATTATATGGATAAACATTTAATCTCTGTAACTACAGAAATAACATTTAACCTGTGTACCCACAGAAATAACATTTAACCTCTGTATTTACAGAAATAACGTCAAACCTGTGTACATACAGAAATAATGTTAAACCTGTGTACATACAGAAATAATGTTTAACCTGTGTACATACAGAAATAAAATTTAACCTCTGTACCTACAGAAATAACATTATACTTCTATATCTACATAAATAACATTTAACCTCTGTATCTACAAGCTCTGTACCTACAGAAATAATGTTTAACCTCTGTATCTACATCGATAACATTTAACCTCTGTACCCACAGGAATAACGTTACTTAAACCTCTGTACCTACATAAATAACATTTAACCTCTGTACCTACAGGAATAAAGTTAAACCTCTGTACCTACAGAAATACCATTTAATGTCTGTACCTACAGAAATAATGTTAAACCACTGTACCTTTGGAAATAACATTATACCTCTGTATCTACAGAAAAAATGTTAAACCTCTGTACCTTCAGAAATAACATTATACCTCTATATGTACATCTGACGTACTTTTAAAAGGACTGACTATCATCCAATAATATAGGTTTATATAATACCTAGTGTCAGGAAAAATGTAAGTTGTGTATTATTACTGAAATTTAAACTGGATTTTTTTAGTGCATAAAATATTAAAATAATGAAAATTATATTTTTATATGACGCTTTGAGTTATAAATGTAAAAGTGAAAGCATCAGACGCCATGCCTTCTGATTGAGGTTAATCAGGATCAGCTAATAGATTTCTCATGTGGTTGTTTTCTGAAATGAAATAATTTATCTATAAAGAGCTTACCTGGATTATAGATAATGAACATTATGAGTCAGAATAATGTCGTGTCTAGTATGTATATTATTAGCATTAATCTTACTAATTGGTTTTGTTAATTCCACTAGTGACTACAAATATCTCAGTTTAAGATGCACATTAATAATTCAACAGAGGTTTAACTTTAGGTCTATGGAACTGTTCTGGCAAAAAAATAACATGGCGAATCCGCTGTGTTTCACCTTGTTTTGAATAGCATGGAGGATTTGACTTTTATTTTAGTTGATCTTTTTTTTACTAACGACATTTTACAGGTTGTTATACTGCTGTACAATGTATATAGGATAGAGTTAAATATTTGTATGTATTTATGTATATTTTGATGTATATCTGTCAACAAAACAGTATACTAGTCTTTCTGTAAAATTAAAATTACTTAATTTATCATAAACCAGGTAGTAATTTAGTAATAATGCTTTTTGGCATCAATGGGGAAAATTCATGATCCAAATATTATCTGCCTTTAAAATCTGATTTATGAGAGTGGATTTCAAAAATGTTTATTTATTAGGAGTGGTGCTACCAAACACATTCTTGAATTTGGACAGGCTGCTTTTTCCAACCCTTTGTAAATATACTATCAGTGGATTGAATCATCCGATCAAGTATTTCCTTTAACTACAAAATCAATGCCAATAATATGAATGCTGAAAATCTGGTTTTGTCATTAAAAAAAGATGCTTATAATTATATATAGTATAGTTCAGCTGGTAACTTCCTTGAATTGAACAAATTTTCCTGGAATTTGTAATGCTAATATGGAATCTAGAAAAGCAGACTGTCCCTGAATTTGTGAATGTGAATGTAAGGAGAATTTGTGTAATGCGAATAATATTGCACCATTACTAAAATAAGCCAAACTTCTGTTAACACACACTGAGATTCTATTCACTATAACTTTTACCTAGAAGAATATATAAAAGGCAGTGCAGGTTCCCCCCCCCCCCCACACACACACCCCCCACAGAAAAATATACTTTTTTCTTCCTTATTAAAAGTGACCCCCCTCCCCACACCCCACAAAAAAATATATTTTTTTCTTACTTTTAACTAGAATATATAATAGACCTGTCTGAAAACAAAGTCTCTTCTATGCTATCACCCCACTAAATGGCAGTACAGGTGCCATGACCCCCTCCCCAACTTTTCTTGGATACTAATGCTGGTTACTGTTGGGATAAAGTGGAATAACTGTTTCATCCAACTATATATTTTTTGTCATCATAAGAAGTATCATTGATTCTAATATTCTCCATAATGGTACAGATAACAGCAATCGGTGTTCAAATTAATTATTTATATTAATCCAGTATTTTAGTATGATCTTTAATTTTCAACTGACTGCTCAATCATACATACCAACTGTGTTGATTTGTTTAAAACAACTTTTTTATGGTTTAATTAATTGTTTTAAAATAGATTTGCATTATAATGGAACTAGAAGGATATATTAATTATCTTATATTAATTAGTGTAAATAGACGATGTTATTATTATTATTATAGTTGTTTTATATACATAACAATATAGATATATATCGATGTTTTTTGTTGAGTTAAAATAACAAAACAAGACACATAATAATTGTAAATAACAATGTGTTTTATGATATGGTTGATAACCTTTGGACTGTATTGCGTTTGTTAATAAAAGAAGTGTTTCATTTACATTGATTACATTTTTTTCAAGAAAAATCTTTCTGAATTATTAACCAACATTTGGTAAAGAGTAAAAAAAAAATGAATTCAATTTAATTAGAAACTGCTTGTTTGACTGGTTCTTACTTAAGCTGAAGTCATACTCTCTTGCCTAGCAGGATGTTAAAACCCTTTTCATTTCATTTCTATAGAAATATTAAAGGCAAAAATATTAGAGGTCTAAGCACTGGCCAGATTAGTTTGAACTTGTAGAAAACCACTATAGGGTACAGTATGTAGCCCTTGTAATCAATTTTAAATTGACATATAATCACCAACAGCTCTTTAAATTATGGATAATTACTCTAAAAATATTTCTAAAATATACAGTCATTGATAAAGCTTTAAAATTGAAAATCACTAAAGTATAACTCTAGCGAAAGTGTGAGCAGTGCATATAGTCCTTCAGGTCAGACCATATGAAAGGATTATATTATATAAATTATGTGTTTGTTGCAATGAGTTAAAAAAAATGTGATGTATGTTTTTATTTATACTAATTACCCAATTTATTGTTAAAGGCACACAATGTTTAAAACAAATTTGTATCTTGTAAATTCTTCATTGTAGAAGTTACAAATTGTTAAAAATCTTGCAAAAAAAAAAAAAAAAACCCAACAAAAAATCACTTGTGTTAAAATTGATATCTTTTGTTTGGCATTGTTCCCTACCCATACTTAACATTATGATGGTGCCTTATTTTGAAATAAAATGTTATTTACATAACAATAACACCAGTTCAACATTGCACTTATGTGGAAGACTACTTAATAACATCAATTTTATTTATGACATTGTGTGCCATTAACATACATTACTGACACAGGACTGGGAATTTATTGGTCTTAAGATGTTAAAAAGAATATGACTTGAAGATCAGAGCTCTTAATTAGTTATTTTATACCCTGATTATGTACAGAGATTAAAATTATCCAAATGTGAAATGACAAAAAATGTTCATATTTTTGAAAATAAAAATATTTTATTATAATTTGGATAAATCAAACTTTACTGAAGAAAATATGTATATCCTCAAATTTATTAATCAAGAGAACTGATTTTTCAAGTTACATAATAATCTTGTTTAGATATATATCATGGCACACTAGCTCTCAGTTGAGAGGTATGGGAATGCTGCTACAATGTATACATAAATTACTTAGAAGAGCTCAAGATTTTTATTTTAAAGAACACCGGAATGAAGCTCGATATCATTCAATTCAGTTGAAACCATTTTATATGAACTCAGTTGTATTTCATATTTTTTTTGTATTTATTGTTTTGTATTCTGTATTCATTTACATTTCATTTAGTGTACCCATTTTTTCTTTAGTTTACTTTTGACATTTTTACTTAATTTTCATACTAGCTAGATTATACTTTCTTCCATGATTTATCTTGTCAAAGAAATCTTTTATACAAAAAGATGCCAAAATAAGTTTCTTTTTTTTTTCAAAGGATTGTGTTACATGGCACTAACTTTTATGTTTTGATGATGATTTTCTTTTAAAAATGATTAATATTATTGACTGTTTTATTGCTCTAAATCATAGATGCTGTTATTGCCAATTATGCTGTAGATAAGGTCGTAAAAGACAAATTGTTCAATTATTGTTATTGCTCTTGTGAAATTTTATTAGCATTAATATATATATATAGCACACATTCTGGTTAGTTCTGTTGTACAGAATTTGTCAAGAGATTTGACATTAGAAGCTGTGAAAGATTATGATTTTTTTTGTGATTCTTTGTGATACCTAGTTAGTGCATTTATTTGTTGTTGACCTCATTCCCTGTTATAATGTGCTTCTGTTAAAATAATTATTATCAAGGTGTATTATAGAAATTGACATAAAGTTCTTTATTAATTAATTACAGTAATTAAATGTAAACATTGTGTTGTTCTGTTCCCTACCCTTACCCAAACTGTAAACATTGCAAATAAATTATATTATGTAAAAAACACATATGTGTATTGTTGTTATAATATATACTAATGTCCAAAAGAAAGTATACACTGTGCATTTCGTCCTGCTTCAAACAAAGTCGTTTTTTCCATTGTATGCGGTATTTTGGTACAGTGTCCATTTGTGTTGCCTTTTATTTGCTTAGAAATATTGCGTTTGGATGCACAAGACATGTTCAGTATAGTTTTATAACATTTTGTTGATTTAAACAAAACTTAGTCATATTTTTAGTGTGTATACTTTCTTTTGGACATTAGTATAGTTTGTATATGTAGGCTTCAGAATATGTATGTATCAGTTCAGAAATTGTGTCTTAAATGTATCTTACCAACCCGGCTAATCAAGTTTGGGCATGCAGTGTGCTCTGACAGAACTTTTGCGTGGACATTCATGGAATTCCAACTGTCATGGGTTCTTTTAGATACACTAGTGGGCAGTGGCTCTTTGTTTTTTGTCCCATCTTGCACTACTGACAAGTGGACACAAGGCATCATTAGACTACTAATGTAGTGCCTTTAATTGATAACTCACATATATAATGCATTATTTTCTTACAAGTTAAGTACTGATGAAACTGAGATGTTACAGAACAAAGTTAAGTGTGATACTAGCTTATAAACCATGACAAAAAATGAAAGAATATCAATAGATGTATTTTCCTCTACCCCCAATAATGATGTCTATGTTTAAAGGGAGATAAAGCCTAACAAAGTCATCCAAGAGAGTTTGATCACCCCATCCATGTTGTATGAACATATTGATAATTACTCTTAATACTGAATTCTTTCATGTCGATTAGGAAAAAATGCATAAAGTTCATTTTTAAGGTGTGACTGTCATACATCTATGAAACTGCAAATTCACTTGAAAAATTGCAATAAATTCAAATTCCATGTCTTATCAACTGCAAAAATAGGTTGCCAGGCAACGAAACATACTCCCACCGCAGCTAAATCGTCCGAGCGGTCGAAAAGGGTTGTCATTTATTCCTTTGTAGGTAATTGGGGGCCTTTACAAGACAGTTCCATACAGATCAGATTATAATTTTTGTCGTTTGAGGGTCCACAAGGTTATATAAAATGAAACAAGGGCCTCAACTCTGGAAGTAGTCTACAGAAATTGTTGAAATTTGACAGGCTTTTTCGTTTTACTAATTTAAATAATGAATATAATTTCATACAGATCGGATGATCACTTTTGTCACAAAGTTCACAAAGTAAATCAAGGGCATATAACTCTAGAAATTATTGACGGAAATTGCTGAAATTCAATAGACCTGTTTCACAAATTAAAATGATGCATATAAATTTCATACATATCGGATGATAACTTCTATGGAAGGGGATCGACGCCACATTAAAAGACATGTAAACACGAGTAGAAGTTACTATGTCAGCATATGAAAGTGTTGTTTTGATGATTTTTCCATGTTCGATTTTACAAAATAGAAAAGTATTGTCCACTAACGAAAAAACACATGTACAAATGCGCCTTGTAACGTTTGTATTTTCTACATCTGATCTTTCAACTGTTGTAATTTCTACTAGTGCATAATCGACATATGTAACTTCGACATCGGTATTTTCTTCCAATGTAATTTCTCCACATGTCACATCCATCAAGGCGTGGTTCCGATTTTAGCCGAAGCTTGCGTCATAAAAACAAAACCTCCCTTCAAGTAGTCTCGGTCATCCAGACAATATGGCTCCTCCGCGATAGCTCCCTCGACTAACGGGCTTGGATGACCGAGGCGACCCTTCGAGGAAAGTCATTCCTACTACCAGAAAGTTGCATGGAGAGCATCAATAATTTTTAACGGAAGTTAACACTAACATATTGTTTTATGCTAAATTTTAATACAACTTTTAATAGTTTGCTTTCTTTGTTATTTTTATGTGTCTTGAATTCACCATTTCTGGTGTTCATGTCGTTAACATAATTTTGAATGCATAAAAATAACAAAGAAAGCAAACTATTAAAAGTTGTATTAAAATTTAGCATAAAACAATATGTTAGTGTTAACTTCCGTTAAAAATTATTGATGCTCCCCATGCAACTTTCTGGTAGTAGGAATGACTTTCCTCGAAGGGTAGCCTCGGTCATCCAAGCCCGTTGGCGTTAGTCGAGGGAGCTATCGCGGAGGAGCCATATTGTCTGGATGACCGAGACTACTTGAAGGGAGGTTTTGTTTTTATGACGCAAGCTTCGGCTAAAATCGGAACCACGCCTTGATGGATGTGACATGTGGAGAAATTACATTGGAAGAAAATACCGATGTCGAAGTTACATATGTCGATTATGCACTAGTAGAAATTACAACAGTTGAAAGATCAGATGTAGAAAATACAAACGTTACAAGGCGCATTTGTACATGTGTTTTTTCGTTAGTGGACAATACTTTTCTATTTTGTAAAATCGAACATGGAAAAATCATCAAAACAACACTTTCATATGCTGACATAGTAACTTCTACTCGTGTTTACATGTCTTTTAATGTGGCGTCGATCCCCTTCCATAAACTTCTATTAATCGAGCATTAACAAGGTTGAACAAAGTGAAACAAGGGCCATAACTCTAGAAGTAATTATTGTTAATTTGCTGAAATTCAATAGGCTTCGTCGTTTCACTAATTTAAATAATGCATATAAATTTCACAAAGATTGGATGATAACTTTCCGCGTTAGAACCTTCCCAAGGTTCAATAAAGTGAAACGAGCCATGAGCCATAATTCTAGATTATATAAACAGAAATTGCTGAAATTCAATAGGATTGTTCTTTTTACTAACTTAAATGGCACACATAAATTTCATACAGATCGGCAGATAACTTGAGGGGTAAGAGCATTCACAAAGTGAAACAAGGGCCATAACTCTAGAAGTAAAAACGGGAATTGCTGAAATTTAATAGGATTCTTCTCTTTACTAATCTAAATGAGGCATGTAAATTTCAAACAGATTGGCAGATAACTTTTGATGTTAGAGCGTTCCCAAGGCGCAACAAGGGCCATAACTCTAGACGTAATAAAAGGAAATTGCTGAAATTCAATAGGCTTCTTTGTTTCACTTATTTAAATCATGCATATAAATTTCACAAAGATCGGATGATAACTTTTGGCTAACTTTTGGCATTCACAAGGTTCAATAGAGTGAAACAAGAGCCATAACTCTTAGACCTAATAAATGGAAATTTCTGAAATTCAATATGCTTCTTCGTTTCACTAATTTAAATAATGCATATCAATTTCAGAAAGATCAGATGGCGTTAGAGCGTTCACAAGGTTCAAGAAAGTGAAACAAGGGCCACAACTCTAGACCTAATAAACGGAAATTGCTGAAATACAATAGGCTTCTTCGTTTCACTAATTTAAATAATGCATATAAATTTCAGAAAGATCGGATGATAACTTTTGGCATTCAAGCGTTCACAAGGTTCAATAAAGTGAAACAAGGGCCATAACTCTAGACGTAATAAACGGAAATTGCTGAAATTCAATAATGCATATAAATTTCAAAAAGATTGGATGATAACTTTTGGCATTCAAGCGTTCACACGGTTCAATAAAGTGACACAAGGGCCATAACTCTAGACATAATAAACGAAAATTGCTGAAATTCAATTGGATTCATCTCCTTACTAATCTAAATGACGCCTGTAAATTTCATACAGATTGACAGATAACTTTTGATGTTAGAGTGTTCCCAAGGCGCAACAAAGTGAAACAGGGCCATAACTCTAGACGTAATTTAAAGGTTGCCCATCAGTTTCATACAGATTGGATAATAATTTTAGTCGTTAGAGCATTCAAAAGGTGCAATAAAGTGAAACAAGGGCCATAACTCCATAACTCAAGAAGAAATTAACGGAAATTATTGAAATTAAATAGGCTTCTTCATCTCACTAATATAATCAACATATATCAATTTCAAAACAATCAGATGATAAATGTGGTCTGTAGAGTGTTCACAAGAAATTGTGGACGGACGGACGGATGGTGGCAACGACAAAATACATATGGGCGTATAAAAATCTTAAATGATAGGTGTACATCTTTAATATACAACTGCAAAGTTTTCAAGACAATCCATGCTAAAGATGGCCTTATGACTGCATATCAGTCTTCAAGTCTTACTAAACCCTAGACAAACCAGCGGTTGCCAGGCAAGATATGCCAACATTTTGCAAGAGATGGATAGAGAACAAGTTAAAAAAAAACAAAAAAATTTTTTTTTCGTACAATCAGGGGCCATAAGCCAGGAAGTTATGGTTGAACTGCGCAAATACCTAAGGGGACCGAGATATCTGTCTATTTTCTTTGCTTTATTTATGCAATGTTCAAGAGATAATTTGATCAGACATCCACTTCCCGACTCTCCACTTCCAGGGACCATAAACCTAACTTATCTTATGACGGACAACCCCATAAAAAATAGGAGGTAAGCAGTCTCTGAAAAATTAAGCAAGAATCGCAGTCTGATCCCATAAAATGCATAGTTTCTAGTCTATGACATGAACACCGCATCTCCACTTTTCACGTTTAGCTGATCAAGAGAGAAATCTTGCTTTTTATATGACAAAAGATAAGGTTATTTGATATAATAAAAAAACTGACAATGAAATATGATATTTAATGTTTTGATAACAATCATTAACATAATGAATAATGTTCTGTTTGAACTTTTTTCACATTAACAATTACATTCCTTTTCTTAAGGGAGAGAGAAAGAGAGAGAAATGGGGTTTAACGTCCACTCGACACAAACTAGGTCATTTCGGGACTAACATATGGTTTAATTTTATTTCAATAATTCGCTTGCGCGTAGGGGTCTTTAGCAGTGGGAGGAAACCGGAGGACCTGGAGAAAACCCACGAGGTTGGACAGGCGACCCTACTCCTTGTCACGTACAACCGGGGATTCGAAACCACGCCAGTTGACTCAATGACAGGCCTTATGATACAGCGCGAGCGTGCTAACCATTCGACCACCCAACCCCCCCCTTTTCTTAAGGAATATATCTGATAATATTAGTACATTCACCATCTATGTATAATATGTTCAATGTATGATAAATAATCAATCTAATTAAAACAGATCCATTTCGTTTCGTTTTTTATAGTTCTAAATTTTGTTTTACTTGTCTTTACTGCACTAAGATCTGGAAGAGTTGTTATATAACTTGCGTTCTGAATGATGTGAGGGATTAGCCAATAAAACGGTCTCTTACGGCAAGTTTTTGGCATGAGTTGCACGAAACTGTGGGTAACCACACAGAAACATCAACGCTGATTGGTTAATCAAATGTCTGACATCATAAGGTCAAAAGTGACCTCTGACATGACCTCCCACTACAATTGGTCTGATCTTCATGTAGTAGAGGCCATCGAAAGTATAAAAAAACGAAACGAAATATACATCTCTATTGTAATCAGATTGATAAATAATTGGCAGATAATCTTGAGATGCAATCAACATAATTTGAAATAACTGTCTGAACATACCTACATACAGACCAGAGATAGGCAAAATATTAGGATAATGAAAATTCGGCTATAAAAATCTGCAGTTGGGGATATAAAAATCAGGAACTTTTAATGAATCACATCTTACTTAATTTGTGTGCCATTATTGCCTAAAACACAAAATGATAATTTTTTTATTTAAAGGTGCTAACCTTCTATACTTTGGAACCTTAAAATGAACGAAAAATTTTTGAAAAGCACAATATATTAATTTATATAAACTAATTTACATTCAAATTTTAAATTTTTTATTGTAATTTCTAATCAGCTATGTTCAGTGAAAAGGATGTGATGTACTGTATGTAACAACCTCTACAGTAATGAATAATAACTTTATCACTTGAAGGGATTTTAAAAGCACATTGACGAGTACAAGTCTTTCTATTCTATCACTCATTAAGAATCACTGAGTAGGGGGCACCCGATTATTTCTACAGTCTCCCATTTCTGTAGGAACAGTTTCAACAGCTTCCTGTTGCACACCACTAGCCACTTCCATAGAATCACCTGCCGATTTCCGTCGTTGATTCTTTCTTGATTTTTTCTGACCTTTAGACAAAATAACTCTTTCTTTTTTAGGGGCAGGATTATTTGGACTCGCTTTGGAGTCTCTCATTGAAGGTGGATTCTTGTTGAGATGCAATCAACATAATTTGAAATAACTGTCTGAACATACCTACATACAGACCAGAGATAGGCAAAATATTAGGATAATGAAAATTCGGCTATAAAAATCTGCAGTTGGGGATATAAAAATCAGGAACTTTTAATGAATCACATCTTACTTAATTTGTGTGCCATTATTGCCTAAAACACAAAATGATAATTTTTTTATTTAAAGGTGCTAACCTTCTATACTTTGGAACCTTAAAATGAACGAAAATTTTTTGAAAAGCACAATATATTAATTTATATAAACTAATTTACATTCAAATTTTAAATTTTTTATTGTAATTTCTAATCAGCTATGTTCAGTGAAAAGGATGTGATGTACTGTATGTAACAACCTCTACAGTAATGAATAATAACTTTATCACTTGAAGTGATTTTAAAAGCACATTGACGAGTACAAGTCTTTCTATTCTATCACTCATTAAGAATCACTGAGTAGGGGGCACCGGATTATTTCTACAGTCTCCCATTTCTGTAGGAACAGTTTCAACAGCTTCCTGTTGCACACCACTAGCCACTTCCATAGAATCACCTGCCGATTTCCGTCGTTGATTCTTTCTTGATTTTTTCTGACCTTTTGACAAAATAACTCTTTCTTTTTTAGGGGCAGGATTATTTGGACTCGCTTTGGAGTCTCTCATTGAAGGTGGATTCTTGTTCATTTGTTTTGTATTTTTAACTTCTTCAATATGTGTTTTATAATTGACATAAGAAGCCGGTATTTTTTTCATTATTTGTTGAGGAATAGGGATGCCAATTATTTCTGGCACCATATAAGGTTTTAACCAAACAACAAGCGGTGTGGAACCGATTATATAGTGTGATTTTTTGTGGAAGAACAACAACCCATCAATCTAAAAACGAAAAAAAAACATGACAATTCATTAACATGCCAACAGTGAGGATGATGTCTCCCACTGAAAACACAAAATAAATAGATGACACATATTAATTTATCGCACATTTTTCTTTTAAAAAGTATCAAGCAATCAAACTGATTATCAACTATACACTAAGTTTCATCACTCTCTATCAGATTGAATTGCTTAGCTCTGCTTAGCTGTAGCTCGAAATGTTAATCATTGAACTCAGACAAGACATTCACATAATGAACATCTACATCAAGTTTAAACATTCTACCTCAATTAAAAGCAGAGTTGTTATGTTCCAAAGACTTGACCAATCAAACTGCTTATCTCTCCTTAGCCTAAGCAGAAAATTCTCATTATCGAACTTAGTCGAGGTAATGATATAATAAATCTATACTCGAAGTTTCATCACTCTCACTTAATTATAACCAAAGTTATTGTGCCCAAAAGCATCAACCAATCAGATTGCTTATCTCTGCTTACCGTAAGCAGACAATGTTCATCATCGAACTCCATCAAGGTATTCACCTTATGAACACCTACACTAAGTTTGAACATTCTAGCTCAATTAGAAGGAGAGTTATTGTGTCCCAAAAAGTGTGACAGACAGACATACAGTTGAACCCATTTTAATAGTCACCTGCTTTCTTCGAAAGGCGGGGGACAAAAAATAATCAGGCAAGTGCTAAGCAAAATGAAGACCATGCTCACTTGAGGGCAGGGCTCTATAAAAGTTGAGTGTGCCTGCGCACACACTTGAAAATGTGCCTGCAGGGTCATACTGAAACACATGGATTTAGCCAGGATTTGGTGAGTGGTGTAAAAATACATTTGGCGAGCGGAGCGAGGCAAACAAATTTTTGGGAGGGGGGCGTGGTCTTTTATGAAAATTAAACCCTTCTTGGTGTATTTTCAGAGCATCTGCTGCCTTTTGTATTTGGTTCAGTGCAAATCAAATTTCCATTTATATATTCAAATTTTACCAAAATAACTTAACTTTCATCAATGATACAGGGATCTAAAAACTTTTTGAAACCACCCGACCGAGCATAAAATTGTCCCGCCCCACTCTGTTTCTCTGGATAGATAAGTTGTGGACCTTTTGGTATTTGTTGTTTTGATGGGTTTTTTTTTCAAATATTACTTTATTACTTTGAGATTAAAAACTAAAACGATTCTTAAAACGGTGTTTGTGTTTCATTTGAGTACAACGAATTATGACCACATGTAGATATTGATAATTAAAACACGTTGTATTATTTGACTTGTTTGTAAAGTTGTTGTACGTGTCTCACGAATATTATTATTATTACAGTGGAATGAGAATCAGGTCAGGCAGAAACTGAGAAAGCTCTCATCGCCCCCCTAGTCCTACTCTCGGGCCGTAGCAAATCCACCGTCAATACAGGTAAGAAATAAAATAAGAAACATCGTGAAAATAAATTTGCAGGCACGTGTTGGACAATTACGACATTCAAACCTTTAACATTGGAGTGCCGTAAATTGGTCTGGGTGACCTATTTACGGCAAATAAACAAATATAAAGACCGTAGAATAATTGTAAAATGAATAGACCTAGGCCTACACATCTTCTAAGTATAAATAAACAAAATACCAATACATCTTTCTTTAAACTAATTTGGGATGATAGGGTCTACTACGGCACACAAAAATAAATTATGCCGTGACAGACATGGTTTGCGGACGTCAGCTTTTACCATGGCTTTGCCGTTTAATTGCCGTGGTAAATTTCTAGCGCCGAGTTTGTGTACAGAGAAGGACGAAGGGGTTTAAATACGACTGGGCGGCTTTCTTCGATTTTTTCTTTGTGCTGGGCGGCAAAAAATAGTGCCGGGCGCAGGCGCCGCCCGGCGTGGCTACATCTTTAAAAATGTGCCTGCAAAAAAGTATTTTTTTAAAGCAAATGTGCCTGCGCACATCGTGCGCATGTGCGCGGAAATATCGATGCCTGCTTGAGGGAATTTGTATTGCTTTTGCCACTTGAATATCAGAACATACTCACAAAGCCTTCAATTCAAACATATTTGTTAACATATTTTTAAGGCATAATTATTTTCAAACATGATTATTTTGTGATGCTAATTTTCTTGGAAGGTATTTTTTCATTCTTGTCTGTTTGGTCATCAATATACTATGCAAGGATACACCAAAGAAAGCAGGTAATCTGTAGTTCTTCTAAATTTCTTACCTCAAAATTAGCTGTTGTCATTGCTATACCAATTGCTTCTGGTTTAGATGGGAAATTGGGCAATGGCACAAATTTAAACTAGAATGGAAAATGAAGTAAAACTAAGTCAACAGTGAGGTTTAGGTCCCCCATGCCTCAACCCAAAAATAAATATATGACATTCCTTAATTACTTGCACATATACTATTCAAAACAAGAGCATCGCTAACGCAGCAATATACGTCCACATTCCTGTTTTGTTTGATATGGTCCAGTTTGCATTGAGGGTCTGTGAAATAAAACTGGGTTGTAGGACTGCTATCAGTTTAACGTTTCGTTCACATTAACAGAACACAATTTTTATTTTAAAACAATCGATGTCTTTATTCTAAAAGCATGACGTTTAGAATAGGTATCCCCATTTCAAAAGGATCGGTTAAGAATTGCGGCTTGTAGGCAAAACACAAGACACACAAACATTAGGCGTGACTCTGTCCCAAGGGGTTGAGCATGCACCAAAAATAATAATAGAGGCCAGCCTTAGGATTAAGGAATAAGTGTAAAAACGTAGCCTTAGGCTATAAGGAATAAGTCTAAAAAAAATTTCAAGATGATCGATTAAGAAATGCGGTCTGCAAGTGACACACAGACATAAAAAAAGAAAATGGGCGTAGCTCTGCCCCTGGGGGTTGGGTATTCACCACAACTAATAGGGATGTTCCTTAGGATAGAAGGAATATGTATGCTAAGTTTCAAGGTGATACGATAAGAAATGCGATCTGTAGATGACAAACAAATAAATAAATATAAGGGATGGGCGTGGCTCTACCCCTGGTGGTCGGGCATGCACCAAAAACAATAGGGATCATACTTAGGGTATAAGCAATTCATATGAAAAATTTTCAAGACGATTGATTAAGAATTGTGGCCTGTAGGTGACACACAGACATAAAAAGAAAAGAAAATGGGCGTGGCTCTGCCCCTGGGGGTAAAAAAACAATAGGGGTCATCGTTAGGGTATAAGCAATTCATATGAAAAAATTTCAAGACAATTGATTAAGAATTGTGGTCTGTAGGCGACACACACACATAGAAAAAGAAAATGGGCGTGGCTTTGCCCCTGGGGGGTGGGCATGCACCCAAAACGATAGGGATGTTCCTGAGGGTACAAAGAATAAGTATGCAAAGTTTCAAGATGATACGTTAAGAAATGCGGCCTGTAGACGACAAACAAACAAATACAAAAATGGGCGTGGCTCTGCCCCGGGGAGGCGAGCATGCACTAAAAACAATAGGGATCATCCTTAGGGTATAAGGAATAAATATGTAAAGTTGATACGTTAAGAAATGCGGTCTGTAGATGACAAACAAATAAATAAATATAAGGAATGGGCGTGGCTCTGCCCCTGGGGGTCGGGCATGCACCAAAAACAATAGGGATCTTCCTTGGGGTATAAGGAATAAGTATACCAAGTTTGAAGAAAATCCAGTAAGAATTGCGCCCTGTAGGCGACACAAAGACACACGAAAAGAAAATGGGAAATGGGCGTGGCTCTGCCCCTGGGGGTTGGGCATGTACCCCAAACGATAGGGATGTTCCTTAGGGTACAAAGAATGTGTATGCAAGATTATAAGTTAAGAAATGTGGCCTGTAGACGACAAACAAACAAATACTAGAAATGGGCGTGGCTCTGCCCCTGGGGGTCGGGCATGCACCAAAAACAATAGGGATCTTCCTTGGGGTATAAGGAATAAGTATACCAAGTTTGAAGAAAATCCAGTAAGAATTGCGCCCTGTAGGCGACACAAAGACACACGAAAAGAAAATGGGCGTGGCTCTGCCCCTGGGGGTTGGGCATGCACCCCAAACGATAGGGATGTTCCTTAGGGTACAAAGAATGTGTATGCAAAGTTTCAAGATTATTAGTTAAGAAATGTGGCCTGTAGACGACAAACAAACAAATACTAGAAATGGGCGTGGCTCTGCCCCGGGGGGTCGGGCATGCACCAAAAACAATAGGGATCTTCCTTGGGGTATAAGGAATAAGTATACCAAGTTTGAAGAAAATCCATGAAGAATTGCGCCCTGTAGGCGAACCACAGACACACACACATACATACATACACACACACACACACACACACAGACAGGGGCGACGGCATAATACGTTCACATTATGAATGTGGACGTATAAAAAGTGGGGGATATTTGATTTTGGGGGCATAATACTAAAATATGCAAATGACTACGAAAAAAGTCACTATAGAACCTAACAGAAGAAACATTTCCAGTTACATGTGACGCCCAAACGCACCAATAGCTACCGCATGGAATGCATGTGATGCTTGGGATCATCATGGGGGTCCAACCCAAGATTTGCACGACTCTGACTTTGAATGTTACAGTCATTGTGGCATTGAATTCCAGGGTGGAAACATCAGTTTAATTGTTTTAGTGACCAGAAAACAAATTTTGATATGCGTCGGCTTACCCAAAATGAAAGGTTACGTGCCCTTGGCATGCTACAGATCGGCACAACACAGGCGGTTGTGGCGCGGACGATGAATGTTTCTCAGTCTGTCATAAGCAGGCTATGGTCCAGATACCGTGATACACAATCTGTACAGGACAGACCACGCTCAGGTCGACCAAGGGCGACAACTCAAGCCCAGGATCGATTTATCCGTACCTTGGCCTTGAGAAATCGTGTCATCACAGCAAATCAGATCAGCGCTCGTCTTCAAACAGACACTGGTGTGAGAGTGAGTGGCCAGACGATTCGGAATCGACTGCATAGGGGTCACCTTCGCGCCCGACGTCCTCGCGTGATCCCTTGTTTGAGAGATCATCACATTCAGGCAAGACGTCGTTGGTGTAGGGATCGTCAACACTGGGATAATCGACACTGGAGCAATGTGATGTTTTCAGATGAGTCAAGGTTCACTGTTGATTTTTTGGACAGACGTAGGAGGGTGTGGCGTTGTCGAAACGAGCGCTTCCAAGACGTTAACGTCATCAGACATGATCGATTTGGGGGTGGTCATCAGACATGATCGATTTGGGGGTGGTTCTGTTATGGTGTGGGGAGGCATCACTGTTGCTGGAAGAACGGCTTTACATGTTGTTGCAGGGCGTGTTACAGGCCAGTACTACCGGGACAACATCTTGGCAGTCCATGTTGTGCCGTTCGCATGACGTCATGGCCGCCGTTTCATCTTCCAGGATGACAACGCAAGATGTCACAGGGCCAGGATCGTTACAGGTTACCTCCAACAACAGAACATCACCACATTACCTTGGCCAGCACTGAGTCCCGACCTCTCCCCCATCGAGCATGTCTGGGACATGCTTGGACAGAGGTTACGTCAACGTCAACAACGTCCTGCCAATGTCCAAGAACTTGCTGCTGCGTTGCAACAGGAATGGGACAATCTGGACCAAAATGACCTTAGACGTCTCATTAGGAGTATGCCACGTCGGATCAATGCTTGTTTGGCAAACAGAGGAGGATTTACCCGTTACTGACTTGGTTGTGATGCTGTGGTAACTTTGCTGTTTGACCCCGGGTATCATTTTACCCTTATAATGGTCAGTCTGTGCCTTACTTAGTCTAACGATCATTTGGAATAAATCGATGAATGTGAACTTCATTTCATTTTGTCATTTGTTTCTTCGTCAGTTTCATTAGGTGACTTTAATAACACTTAAAAATCAAATATCCCCTACTTTTTTTGAATAGTATATTTATCCTTTTATAAAGAATCAAGCACTCAAATTGTCTACCAGTCTGCTCAGGAGGCATGTGCGGAAAAATGATCGGGGTTGGGGAGTGTGTGTCCCTGTTCCGGTGTGTCTGACCACTGAGCCTCAAGGGGGGTATGTGGGTGGGGGGGGATCTCTGAACGAAATTTACTCTTTTAAATATAAGGCTCTCTCCTGGGTCTCCCAAATACACAAGTTTAGTTTGACAGACGGACCCATTTCAATAGTCCCTTGAGGCCTGGTTTCTTCGAAAAGCGTGGGACAACTGATGATGATCCATAGACTTGTTATTGTGTATGGCAAAACATTTTACAGAATATGATCTACTGGTATACTTACTGGGTTTGATGGAGAAACTTGGAGCACTTCTGGGGTTTCTTCTATCTTACTTTGAAGCCAGTAAAACCGAAACTCTGCCTATAATGATATATTTTAATACAAAATTATGTGCTCCACTAACTGTTATGTAGGAAATATAAAATATAAATGATTTTGATGCGAGAGGGAGCTTCTTATTTTTGTTTTTTTATTTTGTCAAATGAAAAGGGGGGGGGGGGGGGAATTGAAACTCTGCCTAGTATGATACATTACAATAAAAAGTAACATTTAGTGCTCCAGTAACACTTAAATAGGAAATATAAATTATAAATGATTTGATAGGCCAAAATCTGATGTGGAAGGGAGCTGTGCATTTCAATATTCTACTTTTATTTCATCATCTGTTTATTCACTTAAATAATTTTTATGTTTCATATCTAAAATTGACTGTTCTTGCATGCTAAGCTGAATACAAGTTCATTTACAAGCAGTCTCTGTCTACAGACGAAAGTGCAGTCTTTTTAGATAATTATCTTCCATGAAAGAAAGGATCTAAAATGCAGCTGATGAATTGATGGGTGCTAATTACTAATTATTTATGATTGTCTAGATGTAAAATAGTGTAATTGTTAATCTAGCCTATTTGTTCCAATTAAATTCAACTGGAAACATTTAATTCAGTTATTTTCATTTAACACAGAAACACGATACATGCTTTTACTGTGGAATTAAACAAAATATTGCTTGAAATAAAGAAAATATATATAATGTTTCAAATTTATATTGTTTATATATAGATAAAATAAACTCTATAGTTAACCAATATTTTGGGCATTTTTTTTTACTCAAAACGAATCAAAATACACCATCCCTGACACAAAATTAAGTATGCAATCACACAATCACACAGACAATCAAGTCAAGTCAAACAAAAGTTGGGTACATATACATAAATACAATCCTGTATACCGTAATTCGGTATGACTTTTTTGGCAGACTGAAATTTCTTTATTGACTTTCCTGTTGCCGTTTACGTATTTAACGGAAAAAATGAAATGGTCCAACACCTTTGATCAGTAAGATGCAGGTAGTTTTTCGATCTCAACTTCACACAGTGTAATTACTACAGGATGTGGACATAATAATAGTCAAAAAAAAAATAATGTCGAAAGTTAAACAAAAATTTTAATACTTTTCGTAATGTCCACCAGCATCGCGAAGACGAAAGTGTCAAATGCTTAATTGGCGTAAATTTGATGGCTTCTGGTATTTTGTCCAATGCAAAATATTGTCTTATCAAGTTTCTGGGTCGTATGTCAGTATTTGCAATGATACGAAGTCTGGATATTATTATTCTACCGGGATTTTTCTTTACACTGATAGGTAATTTCTATACGTCATACAGCCTAATTTATTGAATAAATGAATAAATATTGCGATACAGTTTGAAATATAGTGTAAACCTCAAATTGAAAAAAAAATCGCAGTTATCGATTTTCTTATAAAAAGTAGCATTCATCGTTCTTATATGGACTAATATCAATTTAATGCTAGTGTTTTTCACTGCAGCAAAATATAAAATAATGTGCACACCTAGGTTATAGGTAAAAACTAGTGCATACTTTACTAAAACACTGACAGATGAAAAATAATTAACAGTATGTACAATAGCTACTCACTTCACTGTCATAAACTGGATGTCCTCTCCAACACATAATATCTAATATAAAATATATACCTTGTGTTTCACTATATAAGCAATCTAATATTGTATAATCTGTAAAAATATATAAACAATATATTGTTCAATTATTACAAATTTTATTTCTTACATAAACAAGAATGGGTGGGGATTAAACCCCCCTCTCAATTATTATTTATTATGGCATGTGCATTGCGACAAGGACAATTTTACTTAAATAACATTGATCTCCACTAAATTTATTTTGGAGATTAGGTTTCTTTACAAGCACAGATGGATATCCGGCATGTTTTTTTAGTCCCAACATAATGGTAATTATAAGGGAAATTATGTTTGGACAAGGCCATTTTATTGTACATGCCAGTTTCCTTACCATCTTAACAATTAGGAACACTTTTCTTTCAAGCTTTGAAAACATTACATAGTTCCTCCAATGCTTCACAAAATTTCATATTAAAACTTACCAGAATATTTACAACTCTGTTTACGATTACCACCTGGTAAATAAGAAGGAAATGTATGTAAACAATATCCACCTTTAGTATAAGCACGAGTATTTCCCTGAAAATTAAATTGATTCAAGTAATGTATTCTATTTAAATTATTACTTCTCTTTAAAGAACACACATCATGATATCGAAAACCCTAGCCTTGACTAAAAAATCGAAGAAAGGCAATTTTAGATCAAAGCATTGTCACAAATCTTTGCTGAACTTTTGTCTTTATAATTTAGATTTAAACAGCTGTATCTGCAAAAAATTGTTAGGTATGTTTCAAATTTTGCATGCCATCTTACTTGAACGTCCTCAATGTTACCGTATAGTCAAAATAATTTTTCCTGGCGTTCAAAGATCTGATGCGTCTTTAACATCATATAAAATGTAGCAATTTTATTTTACATGTCTACTGGCAAACAATCGCAGAAAGAGTAAAGACATAAATGTATTTGGTACACTATACAGGACTCATTATTACTACAAGATAGACATGAAGTTGGCTAACTAATTTATTTCAATTATGAGAGTATAATCAATAAGAAATCAGTATTCTCATTAAAGGAATACAGCTTTACTTTGAAAATTGTGTTCAAATTTGTTATAAATTACCTTTGAAGCAACAACTAGACATCTTTTGGCTACTGGACATAGTACTGTTACCCATTCTTCTCCAAAATCATCTGGTACCTCCACCAACCATTCTGAATACATTAACTATTTAAAATAAATCAAATACATCAGTTATATATAAGAGAGGCATCTGGTTCAAGGGATAGACGGTGGCTACCAAATCATGGATGTCACTTCCAAATAGACAATTATGACCATAAACTTGATGCAACACTTTATTTCTGAGAATTTGGGAACTAAATAAACATTGAGTAATAAAATAAATCTCAAAGATAAAGGGAGATAATTAATTGTTTACCCACACGCTAGAAAATGGCTAATATTATGTAACACATCAACAATGTCCACTCTTGGTCATGTGGAATTCATTACATCATGTTATTATATTATTATCATTACTATTATATAGCATTATAAGTGAAAAGGAAATAATATGTGTTGTCATTAACAGACTTCAGATAGGTAATAATCTGGAACAACAGAGAAAACTGCTGTGTTTATATGATGACAAAGTAAAATGCTACACATACTGCGGAGGAATTTCAGTAAAATTGTCATTCCCATTCATTCTTTTATACAAATTAATGAAGTTCGTGTGTAACGATGCTGTTAAGTGTCAATGTCACACAAACATTGCTATCTTCTTCAACTGACCTGATTTTTAAAAGAGCGACTTGGTTTCTTCAGAACAATTTCCACATCCATACCTTCTTCCTCATCTTCTGGAGATGTCACCTCGGACCCTCCAGGAGCTGTCCAACTGCCTTCTGCTAAATTACGGGCATGTGACATGAAATCAAATCTCCGACTGAAACAAATTTACATGAAAGCCAAAAGGTAATGAAATGAAGTGAAGATTCGAAATAAGCAGTAGAAACTACTTGTACTTGGGCTAAAACTGTATGAAGATAGCTTTACATGCAACAGCAGAAAAGTCTTTTAAGTAGTGGTATACTTCTTCTGACAAGATGAAAAATAATGTTTACTGTTAAACAAAATGTGTTGCATAACATACCTTTTCTGAATTTCTAAAAGTTTCTGTCGTCTGTCTTCCTGTGTCTGTTGTGAAGATTTATTTTTATACAAAGCATATCTAGGGTGCTCTGCAGCTGTTGTGTTTGGGTCACTGCTGACTGCAAAACTTGATGCAAGGGCTGCTGTTAACTCATCCATTTTGAATATTATTCTCGTACTAAAATAAGAACAAGCCAACAGTGAGGCTGATGTCCCCCGCCGAAATCCCCAAATAAATAGATGACACATATTAATTAACCGCACATCTATTTTTTTCAAAAGTATCGAGCAATCAGACTGATTATCAACTAGACACTAAGTTTCATCACTCTCTATCAGATAGAATCAAAGTTATCTTGTCCCAAAGCATCGACCAAGGAAATTGCTTATCTCTGCTTAGCTTTAGCTCGATATGTTAATCATTGAACTCAGTCAAGACGAACATCTACATCAAGTTTAAACATTCTACCTCAATTAGAGCAGAGTTGTTATGTTCCATAGTCTTGACCAATCAAAATGCTTATTGCTCCTTAACCTAAGCAGACAATTCTCATCATCGAACTTAGTCAAGGTATTGATGTAATGAAACTATACACCAAGTTTCATCACTCTCACTTAATTAGAACTAAAGTTTCCCAAAGCATCAACCAATCAAATTGCTTATCTCTACTTACCATAAGCAGAAAATGCTCACCTTCACACTGGCATTGACCTCATAAACACCTACACCAAGTTTCAACATTTTAGTCCAATTAGAAGGAGAGTTATTGAATGTGTCCCAAAAAGTGTGACGGACGGACGGCTGGACAGACAGACAGACAGACAGACAGACGAACCCATTTTAATAGTCCCCTGCTTTCTTCGAAAAGTGGGGGACAATAAAATACAGGTACCGGTAGTGAAGGTATTGATCTAATGAAACACCAAGTTTCATCACTCTCACTGGAATCAAAGTCATAGTGTCCAAAAGCTGACTTTTCTTCATGAATCATGTGGAGTCACCCCCATTGGTGTGAGCAGTGAGCTTTAAAACAAATTTTATAGACTGCCTTACAGCACAGTAATGTCGCAAGGTTTGATGCCATTAAAGGGACAATAACACTCTTGCTGGCTTGACAGCTCCATAAAATAAAAACTAACCTTATTCTAGATGTGTTAGTGTCCTACCTGTTGTGTAAATTATCCATTAAATCCTATTTTACTTGTCCAGAGGGTTCATAAATATTTTTATATCCAAGTCACATTTGAAAAGCTTTACGTCAGGCTTTTCAAATCATTTAGTTGAATTTTTCCAATTTTTAAAATTAGGTGTGTTAAGATGAAATTTATATCATCAATTAATTGGAATATTGTAAAAGAGTACAATTTGTTGACCAGAATAAAGATTGGGACATATTATTCAGTTACAACAAGAGTGGTATTGAGCCTTTAACAATGCCTCCTATGGTACGGTAGTTGAATTAAATTGGTAAAAGCATGTAACAGGGTAGTTCTTTTCGAAACAATCTCTGAACAGACAAAGTCCTTTGACCATTCCTGTCCGTTTCTGTTTACAAGCAATTTTGAAATTAATGCCCTACCCACACCTCTGTTCTACAGCTATTTTGGAGTCCTTACCTTCTATTTTCCACAGCAATACTTTATTGATTGCCAAAAGGAATCATTTCTTGCAACATCTGACATAAATTTATAATAACCCAACAATATTTTCTAGTAGAATTTTGCAATTCAAAAACATACACAAAATACCTTTAATTTTGTCCAAAATAATGTAGCTGTGTGCAAAGCTTTTGGTCTTTTGTGAGATGTGGCGAGAAATTAATTCCTTTCAGCAAATTAAAAGGTATGAACTCCAACTTAGCTGTAAAGCAGGTGCGAGTACAATGATACCTATGTTCAGAACTGAACTAGTGAGGGTAGATCTAATCCAACAAGTTAGATGTTACTCTTTGATACAAAACCTCAAGGCACCCGGGAGTAGGGTAGATCGTTAGTTTCATTAATTTCATATTGCTTGTAATAAGGACCTTAGTTTTCCAACCATCCGAATGACTATACATTGTCACTCGCCAGGCCCTCTGTTCTACACCACTGACAAGGGGGAACCACTCTGGAAAATCCTGATGAACTTTTTAAACCAACACCGGACTCATACACGGGACCTCCAGGATCGATAGCGAGCCAATTAACGTCTTTACTCATAGCCACCATGGTTCATGTGGCACAGTGACAAGTGAGGGCAGATATTTCGTACTACATGTAGATGGGACGGGGACAATCGTGCACCTTTCTAAATTCTGACACTCAAAATTCATTCGGGGGGTCACGGTGGCTAAGTGGAAAGTTCATCCAGATTTTCCTGTGTGCTTCCCCCTTGTCAGTGATGGAGGACGGAGGGTCTGACAAGGACAGCTGTCTAGTCGTTTGGATGGGACAAAAAAACGAGGTCCCGTGTACACATTGGCGTGCACGTAAAAGATCCCTTGACAGTTGGAATTCGATATAAGAGTAGGTCGTATTGCCGCTGTCCGGGCAAAATTTCCCCCATAGCACACACACTGTATGGCGTATGCCCGTCTTCATTAGCCCAGTCGGAGCAGAAAAGTAGAGTAAGAGTTGGACAATGAATAAACCCCATTTCATTTCATTTTTAACATTTCATTCCATACCCGTACACATGAGGTCAGTGGAATACACAAAAACAACCAAATAGATGTGTAAACAATGCATTTGCATGAATACCGTATTCTAATCTTGCTTAGCTTATATAATATGCCAAATGTCCATGAGCAAATCTAGGTTCTAGTTATAATTAAAACCAACTCCTGCACCCCATAGAAAACATTTCAGAAACGTTTTATAAGGTGTCTGGATCATCGAGTACCATCAGTCAACCACACACCTGCCGCTAGGGGGGGACTTAAATATATTTATCAATAGGGTAAACAGACAACTCGGCACATTCTGTATGCGAACAGAATTTACTGGCATCAAATTAGGGCATTCGTTTAGATTGTGGTATTAATTATCATAAATTTCACGGTCTATTAAAAGATAAACATTGTGACATAATGCATTAATTCGTCAGATCTATTTACCGAGGCCATCTGCAGATTTCCCCAGGGATATGAGATATAAACAGGGTTAGGGCCGAGACTGTGGGTTAGGGTAGGGCGATGTCTTAGGTTTGGGTTAGGGTTAGCGCCAGCCCTGTTTATATCTCGTGACCTTGATGAAATCTACAGGTGGCCTCGGTAAATACGTCTGGTAATCGGCTGATTTGGATCATTGCTGATTCGGACTTGGCTGATTCGGACCAGATTCTTGGCTGATTCGGCCCAGATTTTTGGCTGATTCGGAGCATGACAAGGCTCATTCGGGCCATTATTTGAATGACGAGAGTATTTAAATTGTTTGCATATATTTAATAATATGACAAAAATGACAATAAAGCTAAAAACCACGGAACAAGTGCTTCATATTCTTGGTTGATTCGGACCAGATTCTTGACCAATTCGGACCGAATTCCTGGCTGATTCGGACCATGAGAAGGCCGAATCCGGCCATTATTTGAAAGACGAGAGTATTTAAAATATGTTTGCATATATTTAATATGACAAACATTACAACAAATAGTGTAATTAGTGATTGGTTATTTCAACACCAATGAGCTAAATCACGGAAAGAGTGCTTCAAATGTGATTGACGATGTCTCAATACGCAATATTACATGCATATACTACCCAGTATTATCAAATGGTAATCAAATAGCTGCACCAGTATAATTACTGCAACCAATAACCCCATATCAAAGAGATGCATATCAGTATAATTACTGCAATCAATAATCAAGTATCATCAAATAGTGGCATATATACCAGTATATATAATGCAAAGTATCTGCGATAATTTGTAAAGTATGAAGTCAGAGCCTCGTCTAAGGATTTGACCGTCCGCGGCAATGTTGGGCGAAGCCCGACCCTCGAGCACCGCACATGCGAATCGCGCGAACACCGCAGGTGTGAGCCCGCGCGGGGGGTCTGGGGAGCACTCCCCAAGAAAATTTTGAAAATTGACTCCCTTAGACTCGATTTCTGAGCACTTAAAAAATAGTTTCGGAGATTTGATACACTATTATTTTTGGCATCTTGTTAAACCATGGATTGATTAATACCCTGTAAAATCGAGATCAAAACACTGCTGCGGCTGACCCGCAGACAGAAATATACCCATAAAACAATCAAAAAGACGATTTTGTAAACCTACGCACCATGATATAGTATTGGCACATGGGAAAAACCTTGTCAGCGATTTTCAAAACGTATGTATGTTGCCGCCCAGTCTTCAACTTTTGGGGTCAGTAGGCGGCACAGTTTGGCCAGTGCGCGGCGGCGTCGCCGCCTAGTCACCATGTTAAACGAGGCTCTGAATGAAGTTGAAATAAGGAAAGACATGTTCTTTGTATAATATTTTAATCATCCAGTATCATCTGAAGGGTGCGAAATCAAATAATTCTTAAAATGTGTACCGTATTATTATATAAGATGACCATCAGTCGGATTTGAAATAACTTTTCTTTCTGTCAAATAATCATTTAAACCCCTCCATGGGTATCGTCGGGTTATACTTCCGCAGGCATTTTTTTTTTGTTCTTTAAAATAATTTATTTACAAAAATATGATTACACTAGTATGGTATACAGAGTAATATACAATTTAATATAGCATAGTCACTATTATACAAAATATACAATCGAATATATACAACAACAAAAAAAGAAAATCACTATGGCAATCTCTATGTATTTTCATACGGTTCATTTATATATATAACTAGTTTGGAAAATAAACTTTATTTTAATTTCATATACAATTACAATACACTACTTAAAGTAGTTACATGGATGTGCAATCAATCGTAATTTAAACATACATTTCATATAGTATAATAAAAGATACCCAAGGTGGTTTGGGTTACCCTCTCTGGGGTCATTTTTGCGCTCCACCCTGCTTAGTTTATTGTATTAGTTTTGCGCAGGGCAGAACGTTTCCCTCTTGGGGACAGTTTTCCGAACCGCCCTGCTCTGTGTGTTTTTTAATTGATTAGTTTTGCATATCATTACATCCGATTTGTCATACCAATTTTCTCAATGAAATCCCAGATAAGCCGAGAGGTCCAATACCTATCATCTGGGTTTGGGGAAAGGAGAGAATTGAGACAAAGTGTTTTACCTCTCCATATCAATGTCAATCATTGATTTCAATATTAATAGTGTGATGGGGTTGCAATATGTCTACACGGGCATTTGACTGGTGTATAGGTGAAGTCTTTGACTACGTCTATTGTTTTGAGCCTCGTGATGAGCTTGCATACTTCGATTGAGGGATGATTGACGTACACCTTGTTTACAAGACTGCTATCTATTTGATAGCGATGGGTGTTTTCTTCCTTTAGACGGGATTCCCTTGCAATTTTGATCTTCTCTTTTGCCATGCTTGCAAATTTCTGACTGCTGTATTCAAAATTGTCCAGTTCATTTAGTGACAACCCTTCCTTCGCTAGTTTGTCGACTTGCTCGTTTCCCAAAATATTGACGTGGGAAGGGATCTATGCCAGGATCACATCCCTCCCACTGATTTTAATCTTTTGAATTAGGTCCCTAACTTCGTGGATCTGCCCGCACCTTTTGGGGAAGTTTGATGCAATAGATTTGATGCTACTCAGGGAGTCGGACATTTTTCCAGTGCAGCTTTAATAACCATCAGTTCTGCGGTGTACACAGAACAATGTACTGATAGCCTTTCGCTGATGTTCAGCTTTGCTTTGGAGGTATATGCCATATCCTGTTGCTCCGTTTGCAGAATCTTTTGATCCATCTGTGAGCTCATTATCCATCATATTTATATATTCTGATAAATGTAATCTAATTAAGTAGCCAAGACAGAGACCTACCTGATCTAAACAAGTGTTGAAAGTAATACACTAAATTGTTTGACAAATGTGTAAAACATTGTTAGCAATATCATGGACCTTCTAATATAAAATAAGTTAATTAAATCACACTATACAGTATAATACTCAATATATGCAAGAACCTATAAATCACATCATTTATTGTTCATTAATGACAAGCCTAGTAATTCAATAAACAATCAGATCCAATCACACAAATTCTCTATTAGTGGATGTCATGCAATGAGATCTGAGTAATTTTGATTTAGTAATATAGTACATTTTCCACAATGCTATCGTTTTACTTGTGTTAAAGGGACAATAACACTCTTGCTGGCTTGAAAGCTCCGGAAAATAAATAATATCTCTATCTAAGTACTAGATGTTTAAGTGTCCTATCCTGTTGTGTAAATTATCCATTACATCCTATTTTACTTGTCCAGAGGGTTCGAAAATATTTTTAAATCGAAGTTTCATTTGAAAAGGTTTACGTTAGACGTTTCAAACCAATACCATTATGTTGAATTTTTCAAAATTTTTAAATAAGATGTGTTAAGATGAAATTTGTATCATCAATTAATTGAAATATTCTAAAATAGTACAATTTGTTGACCAGAATAAAGATTGGGATATATTATTCAGTTACAACAAGAGTGGTATTGAGCCTTTAAAATTGTGTCTACAAATCTGTTTATCTTTATTTTCTGAACAAGGTAAGCTAAATATTTTGATTGCTTCTCTATAGGCTACATCATTTATTCGCAATAACATTGTAGATTTCGGTTATGCTACTGTATTGCTGGTATTGGTTTTATAATTTGTATGACTTATTGAAATTAACATAAATTAGATTAAACAGTATTGGGAACAAGCCATAAAGCTTATATTAATCCGTCTCCCTGTAGTATTAAACAAAATAAAAATGGCATGTTTAAATTGCATAAAACGTGTAATAATTTACATAATATTAATAACATAAATATAATCTCTTGTCATCATCCCTATTAATACAGTCATTATCTTCATCTTCATCCTCAGAACCAGCACATATGCTATGTTTTGTCAACTAACATCTACAAGGCCTAGTGGTAAGTAAATAAAATCAGGCGAAGTGAATGGAATAGGCCTATAAACATATTAAATTGACGAAATAGAAGCACATAATATAGTCACGAAATGGCCTAGATAAAATCCCTTTATACTTGGTTCAATATCTATCTATGGTCCGCATCAGCCCGGTAGTGGTCCGAATCAGTCTCGAATGTGGTCCGAATCAGCTTAGACTTTTGGTCCGAATCAGCCATTGTTCGAATCTGCCAGGTTCCGAACCAGTTTGGTTTCGTAGAGCTAACCTTAGACTAACGATTTCCGCCATGTGTACCATTTGTAGCGCCCCCTTATGGCTTTTTTATTGCTCTAGTCTCGTACAATATTTATGATGAATCTAAGAACTTGACACTACAATTATGAAGTTTTGTCTTATTTAATCTATGTTTTTTCCATTGAAATTCAGTGAGCATGTAAGTAAAGACCGAAACATTGAGATATTGTCAGTTGGGTGTATGTCGCTTCAAATTAGTAAATTGCTACACGTTAATTTACTGTCCACATATAGTGTCAAGTGTCAGGGTAGTCAGACCTCATTTTTCAATTTGGCTCAGATGAGACGTGTACAAACCGCTCTTGTCACTTCTTAAAGGAGCCAAATCTTATTCTTTGGCACCTAGAAATGGACACAAATGGGTCGCAACGCATATAGGCCTAATAATAATGTAATATGAATGGATATGTTGAGTGCATGCTTCACCCCTTGGTCAGATTACAATTAGAAATGGTTCCATGAAAGTTCTGTCTTACTCCAGACAGTACCGAACACAAATTGGCGACCTATTCGGCTAGCCACCCATTCGACCGATCCAGTTGGCAACCTATTCAGAATTATGCCAACAGTCGACAAACTCATCTATTTTTATCATCCAATAAAATCCAACGTTACGTCTATCAAATAAAAGTAGTATATATTTTTTTTTATCCATTCCTTTAGCTCAGAATAGAGGCGTAATTTCGCATTTTCTCACAAAATTCTTAACATCCAACTAAACATATTCCGAAGGGTAATTAAATAGGCTTTCCAAATATTATTAGTAAAAGTTGGCACAGTCATATTAAAGGGGTGCACTCTCATCCTAAACATGGCCAATTTTTTAAAAATTTTAAAGGGAAATCCGTTAATATCCCGTGTCAAAATTCGGACCATCGTACAAAATTCTGATGATCCAACTAAATATATTCTGAAAGGTAATTGAATCAGCTTTCTAAATATTATTAGTAAAAGTTGGCACAATCATATTAAATGGGTGCGCTCTCAACCTGAACATAGCCAAATTTTCATTATTTTTAAGTGAAAGAACAGTAATATTCCGAGTCAAAATTCGGACCATTGTACAAAATTCTGATCATCCAGCTCTGTATATTCTGAAAGGTAATTGAATAAGCTTTCCAAATATTATTAGTAAAAGTTGGCACAATCATTTTAAAGGGGTGCGCTCTCATCCTAACCGTCGCCAATTTTTAAATATTTTAAAGTGAAGAACGGTAATATTTCGAGTCAAAATTCGGACTATCGTACAAAATTCTGAGCATCCAGCTATATATATTCTGAAAGGTAATTGAATAAGCTTTTCAAATATTATTAGTAAAAGTTGGCACAATCATATTAAAGGGGTGCGATCTCGACCTAAACATAGCCAATTTTTCATTATTCTAAATGTCAAGTTAAACGGGTATTTTGTTTGAAGTCCAAATTCAGATCATCGTACAAAATTCTGAGCATCCAGCTATATATATTCTGAAAGGTGATTGAATAAGCTTTCTAAATATTATTAGTTAAAGTTGGCACAATCATATTAAAGGGATGCGCTCTCATCCTAAACGACACCAATATTTCAATATTTTAAAGTGAAAGAATGGTAATATTCCGAGTCAAAATTCAGACCATCGTACAAAATTCTGAGCATCCAGCTATATATATTCTGAAAGGTGATTGAATAAGCTTTCTAAATATTATTAGTTAAAGTTGGCACAATCCAGTGATGGGATTTCAAAATTTTTCTTGTCGAACATGTATACCGAAAATAAAGGGGCATAACTCTTATTATTTAAGCAGGCGATGTCAGACCACAATTAAAAATCACATGTCAACAAAATATTCAAATTCGTACGTAATGAAAAAAATAGGTGAGCCTCGTTATTTTCATATTTAATTCCCGTACGGTATTCAAATTTATGTCAGTAATATTCCAAAATTATGTGTTGTTGTGATACGATAGAATGAAAGCGTGCCGACTACTGTCGACCCATATTTTTGTTCAAAATCACCTCCAAAATTACCTTATTTTTCGGGGTATAAGTCGATACTTTTTTCAGCAAAAGTCCGGCATTCGTCTTATACTATGTTCTGACTTCTATACGGATGGAAGTAGAAAAAAAAAGACAACCAGGTGAACCAGATTTTTTTGGGGCTGTGACCGTCGCTCCACGATACCGAGCCAGTGACATCATCTGCTAAATAATAGCACTCGCTATCATGTAAAACAATTGACTACTTACATGTACACTATTCCAATCAAAATATTTGTTGACATTTCTCAACTTGTTTATTTCTTTTTTTAAACATAAACCCCATTCAAAATATTATCATAAACCTGAAAATATGCCATTAAAATAGAACCTTTCCTGCGACGTGATAATAGTCACATTTACATCTCTTGTAGTTTCACACGTCTCGCGAGATTTCTACTTTAGTTTTTGATTATTGTATTATAACCACGTCTGGATGTTTGTGTAAAATAACTTTATTTTACTAGCGCTTCCACTGAAGTGATATCGCAGACAAATTAACGGATATATTGAGTTTTAAGTTAACGTGATAATTGTCACATTTACATCTCTTGTAATTTCACGCATCTCGCGAGATTTCTACTTTAGTTTTCGATTATTGTATTATAACCACGTGTGTGTGTGAAATAGCTTTATTTAACGTGCGCTTCCACCGAAGTGACATCGCAGACAAATTAACGGATATATTGATTTACAAGTTAACAGATAATATATTGATTTGGGGTGTTATATACTCTTACAATATGTGACATCTGTGATTAGTTTATACATATTGTCGGCTCACATCAATGGGATTAAAATGTTCGACAATGGTAAAACCACAAGGTAAACACTTAGATTAAAATGATAATCACTCTTACTGGATTGATGAATAGTCCGACAAAGGGGAAGCAATGACTTCTGTTTAAGATTAGATTGATGAATTGTCCGAAAAGGGTTAAGTCAGCCAATCAAGGCATATTAAGTAGCTAATCAAGGTAGGTGTATAGACGGTATAACACGATAAATATGTTGATCACTTAAATATCTAATCAATTCAGCCTATTATCAACGATAATCGGGTTGAGTGGTAGTTATACACCCCTAGGACCATCTAGAAATCAGCCAGATTTCTTCAAGTTTAGGAATGTGACCTCAAAGATAATAGAGATCTGTTGAAGAGAATCTTGTCATCAACTTCTCAAAGATAATAAATTGTCGCCCAATTATTATCTATTTAGATGGTGCAGTGTTTAAGTGTCATATTACACTGCTCTATATTTAGAACGTACAAGCTACATGTAGATGGGTTTGAGATTTTCAATTCAAATTGAACTAAAATAAGGAAATAATAGAAAATAATCAAATTGGAAGTAGAAATAAACAAATTTAATAACAAATTAATATAATGAAAATAAAATTGATTCAAATATTACATAAAGTAATAATAAGATATAATTAGATAATAATAATAATAAGCTTATATAATGAGATGTAATACATGTATGTACAGCACCTTGTCTAAGCCAGGCTATAAAATATCTTACACTATTTTACTCATATACTTTGATATTGACCAATTTGATGTTAACCAATTAAATGATTTTGGATTTTTTTCCTGGGGAGATTACTATTCATAAGTAAAACAAGCGTTGTTGAGCACATTATCCTTGTATAACTCTTGCCAGTGGCACTTTACATTCACCTATGAATATTTATTTCCATAGAAAGGGCTCAATGTCGAAATATTTACGGCCTATTGAGCCATCGTACATGTATATTATATGTGAACACAGGGTACAAATTTACAAACTTATCAATTATTATTTAAGAAAATTGGATCCAAAATATATCTTGTATGTTGGTGCATAAATATGAACATTTAATGATTTTTTAAATAGAGGGAGAGGTTACCAAAAACATATTTAATATACAGCGTTGCCATGCAAGAGACGCCAACATTTTGCAAGAGATGGACAGAGAACAAGCTTTAAAAAAATGTTTTTCGTACAATCAGGTATCATAATGCAGGCAGACACGGTCTGAAGTATCGACTGGATTCAAGAACTTTGGGATATAAACATATAAGCGGACAAGATAAAAACGTGATTTCTCGTACAATCGGGGGCCATAAGACAGGAAATTAGGTCTGATATGCGCGAATATCAAAAGGAACAGAGATATTTGTCGGTAATGAAACATTTATAATACACTAAAATCTGATTAAGGTAACAACTCATTAAGTAATTATCAGAAATCATTAGAATTTGTTTGGCCCATGCTGACGTTTACTACACAAAACATTTAATATCATATATTTAGCTGTTTAAGTTATCAAATATCATTAAAAATCAACATAATTGTTCGTTTCAAGACCTTAAACTATGTGTATCACTCTAAAGTCAATCGAAATAATCATGATATAGGCGTTAACACGGTGTATAAATATAAAATCAATCAGCTGATAACTATCTGGCAGTAATTATCGGAATTCATTGAAAATCAATAGGCTTCTTCGTCTGATGACCTTAAAGACTATGTATATACTTAAAGTCAATCGGATATTTACTTTAGCCCCTAGCGCGTCCACCAAGGGCGTGGATTTGTCATAACTTTTTTGGGGGGGCGGAGGGGGACGAACCATGGAACCTTTCATTACCAAATCAAAATAATAATTACGAACAGTTTACCAGTGTAATCTCGATGAAAGCTGTAACTAGGGGTAATATGATGACGATATGGTAAAATTGACTACCTACAATTAAGGAGGAAGATATCGTGAAGATGAATAACTGTAGCGAGACCCAAGGCAGTGGTTAGATAGCCTTCAGAATGGGACATTCATGTGGATATAAACCTGAAAATCTGTCCTGGTGATCAAAATCATGGGGGGGGGGGCAGAGACCTATTCGCCCCCCCTTCTGATTCTAATGGGGGACCCGTCCCCCCCCCCCCCCCCCCCGCCCCTCCCTAATCCCTCCACAAGATTTATCAAAGTCATAAAGGGCTATATATGTAACTCTGGCAGTAATTATCGGAATTCGGTGAAAATCAGTAGGCTTCTTCGTCTCATGACCTTAAACATGGATATAATTTAAAGTCAATCGTATATTAACTTTACCTCTAAAGGGTTCACAACCTT